GATCTAATGATTCTGTCTCTTCGCAGCAAAATCTGCAGAGCTGGGAAGATTGTATCCCCCATATAAATAACATTCTATTGGTAGCAAGAATTTTATATAGTAATTTAAATTGAAAAAGTCTAAGGTTTTGTGTATCAGTTCATAAACACTATGCCATGGAATCGGTACATCAAAAATCTCTTCCCAACTATTTTGCGATCTATATGGGATGGCTGTCAATCCTTTGGTCCTTAAATGAAACTGGTATACTTTTTTATTTATCATAGTTTTCTTTAAGCAATTATGTTCTTTAATGCAAGGCCGACAGACAAGTACTTTACTTTTTCCCTCTTCCACTTTCCTCTTCCATTTTTGCGGTAATGCTGCAATTATTTGGTTGTAATTTTGGGTAGTGCAGACATTTCCTTATGTTTTTGTTAGCTGCATGTCCTACCGATGATATTATTTACGAAGATTATACCTTTAAAAAAAAAGTTTTTATCAATTAGCATATTTGAGTTTAACTACAATATCTGTTGCATTATTTGTTCTGTCGTTTCTGGAGGATTAAATTGAAATTGCAACCAACTTTATATGGCTTGTTTTAGAAATAGATGATTTACTTTTCAAATAACTGAAAGTGAGAGGTTGTAATCTGAATAAAGGGAAAAAGGCCATTCTTGAACATTGGGTGAGACAATCTTACTAATTTGCTAGAGAACCAGTTCGGATTTAAGTATAACTTTTGTATGACTGAGGCTTTTAGTGATAGGTCTAATGCTTTAATATTTAATCATTTCTGTCCTCCGAATTCATATTCATTATTAAAAAAAACCCTGTCTGATTAGAATTAAAAAGGTATTGTCGGACATTATTCATTCTATGCGCTATACATTTTGCTAGAATTTTGGCATCACAACACTGAAGTGTAAGTGGCCTCCAATTTTTTCAATGGACTGGATCTTTATATTTACCACTTGGGTCCTGTTTCAGTAATAATGAAATCAGACCTTCTTCTTGAGTGTCTGATAATCTACCATTTACATACGAGTGGTTAAAACATGCTAATAACGGTCCTCTGAGTATATAAAAAAAAGGTTTGGTATACCTCGACTGGTATGCCATCCAACCCTGGAGTTTTTTAGAAATGTTTGCAAATGTATTACAAATAAAAAACAGAAATATTGCATTTACATAAGTATTCAGAACCTTTACTCAGTATTTTGTTGAAGCCCCTTTGGCAGCGATTACAGCCTCAAGTCATCTTGGGTATGACGCTACAAGCTTGGCACACCTGTATTTGGGGAGATTTTCCCATTATTCTCTGCAGATCCTCTCAAGATCTGTCAGGTTGGATGGGGAGCGTTGCTGCACAGCTATTTTCAGGTCTCTCCAGAGATGTTTGATCGGGTTCAAGTCCGGGCTCTGGCTGGGCCGCTCAAGGACATTCAGAGACTTGACCCGAAGCCAATCCTGCGTTGTCTTGGCTGTGTGCTTAGGGTCATTGTCCTGTTGGAAGGGGAACGTTCACCCCTGTCTGAGGTCCTGAGCACTCTGGAGCAGGTTTTCATCAAGGATCACTGTGTACTTTGCTCCGTTCATCTTTCCCTCGATCCTGACTAGTCTCCCAGTCCCTGCCGCTGAAAAACATCCCCACAGCATGATGCTGCCACCACCATGCTTCACCGTAGGGATGGTGCCAGGTTTCCTCCAGACGTGAAGCTTGGCATTCAGGCCAAGGAGTTCAATCTTGGTTTCATCAGACCAGAGAATCTTGTTTCTTATGGCCTTTTGGCAAACTCCAAGCGGGCTGTCATGTGCCTTTTACTAAGCTCTGTCAGCGTGACCATCGGGTTCTTGGTCACCTCCCTGACCAAGGCCCTTCTCCCTTGATTGCTCAGTTTGGCTGGGCGGCCAGCTCTAAGAAGAGTCTTGGTGGTTCCAAACTTCTTCCATTTAAGAATGATGGAGGCCACTGTGTTCTTGGGAACCTTCAATGCTGCAGAAATTCTTTGGTACCCTTCCCCAGATCTGTGCCTCGACACAATCCTGTCTCGGAGCTCTATGGACAATTCCTTCGACCTCATGGCTTGTTTTTTGCTCTGACATGCACTGTCAACTGTGGGACCTTATATAGACAGGTGTGTGCCTTTCCAAATCGTGTCCAATCAATTGAATTTACCACAGGTGGACTCCAATCAAGTTGTAGAAACATCTGAAGGATGATCAATGGAAACAGGATGCACCTGAGCTTAATTTCGAGTTTCATAGCAAAGGGCCTGAATAGTTATGTAAATAAGGTATCTGTTTTGTATTTCTAATACATTTGCAAAAAATTCTAAAAATCTGTTTTCGCTTTGTCATTATGGGGTATTGTGTGTAGATTGAGGAAAACATGTATTTAATCCATTTTAGAATAAGGCTATAATGTAACAAAATGTGGGAAAAGGGAAGGGGTCTGAATACTTTCCAAATGAAAAATAGAAAGAGCACAACACAAAAAAATTCACAGTATTCAAAGAGTCAACAATAGATTGTCTCTAGGTAAATACTTTCAAATATATATAATTTTATCCACAAATATATTTATACTCTGTTTTCTTCTATGGAGATCGCTACACATGTTTACATACAACACAGGCTCAAAGCTTTGAGATAACATACATTCTCTATCACAATATGCAGCAAGAAACACTTAAAACACTTAACACATAAAAGTAGGATCTAATGCAAATTATGTTTGCTTAATGTATTGGGTTTTCTTTTGCACTTCCAAACATACAAACACATAGTAAAATTAGTACAAACCATCCCTTTTCTCCTAAAAAAAGATATTTATATTCGAACCCCCCAAATACTAAAAGTAAAGGTATACCAAAGAACATTCATGGATTCTATGACGGTGGGACTCTTTTGGCTTTGCATTAGCTTTGCATGGCACATGACATTAAAAAGAACATGTTGTATCGTCACATACACCGGATAGGTGCAGTGAAATGTGTTGTTTTACAGGGTCAGCCATAGTAGTACGGCACCCCTGGAGCAAATTAGGGTTAAGTGCCTTGCTCAAGGGCACATCGAACAGATTATTCAGCTTGTCGAAATATAACTGAAGCAACACAATACAACACAATTACGTACATCTAAGTGCCCATATGTCTATAAACACAGAGAAAAACAATACATTTTGAACATGACACCAGAGCGTAAATAATCAGGATGTGGAATGTTTGTCGGAACAAGTACACCATTAAGATTCTAAGGTGGAACCAGTATATGGCAACGTTGAACTATTTCATGCCCTGGTGAGTAAGATTGCCAATGTATTTATCACATATAGCAAAAAAACTTGAAAATTGAGAATCTGAGTCAGATTTACTGAACATTAGAACAGCAAAACCAGACAATGACTTTTTTGGCTTATATTTTCATTCCACAATCTCAACCATATCAGGTTCACAATTATTTGGTTTGAAAAATTTAAATATTGGTATGAAATTGTGTACAACATTATTATGTACAATCAGAATTAAAACAGCTGAAGGTCTAGTGGTGTCGGACCCAGATAGAATGGCACATTGTTTTGTGGTTTAAATGTAATGCCCAATTACAATACTGTATATATTTATGATCCAACACTGCAGCATGTAGCATTTTAGTTACCTCACAGTGGATACAAACATAAAACATTATAATATATTTGGGAATACTGGCCAAACATAGCCACTTTACAATGTCTTATTTAACAACATAATATGTATAAGGCTTCTAATGCACACAACCTTGCACTTTATATTTTGACTTTCTCCTTATAACATTTTAGATTATTTACAATAGTCGCAAAAATATATATAGCTTTACAATGGCTGTTTTTATATAGTATAAGAGAAACCCATAATGCCGAAAGCCAAGCTGTGTAACACTAATCAAACTTGAGACTAAGGACTGCAAAGTAATCATCACTCAATATAACCAAATGCACACCGCTGATACTTTATCATCAATGTTGTAACAACAGTATGTTTAGATGGATGCCTTGCCAAAGTCCTACTATGACCGATGGTCATGACTAGCTGGCTTGGAAACAGGGTTCATCAAGATACCATTCACATTACTTCTGTCTTTCACATTTATTGGTATCTATCTATCTATGTATACATCATGCTTGGTTATTAAGTCCTTCCACATTCCAAGTGATTAATAGCGCATGGCAGGATGCTTTACTCTATCTGGCTTTGAGGGGAAAAGAGACTGCTAAGAGGGTCCTTCTCACACCATTGCTCTCTGATTCAACTAGTTTATTTGACCATCTCCTATAGCATGTGGATAGGAGGTAGCATCTCTTATTTATATAGCATATGGATAGGAGTTAACACGCAGTCCGGTTGACGGCCATGCTGTTAATCTCACTAGTCTTGCTAACACCCACAGATAGTGTGTGCAGACAGGCAGCTTTACTGTCTCCAGTGCTATTGGTGTACACTAGCTTGTTTACAGCTTAAACTAGACATTTAAGATCAAAACAAAATTCTCTGTTGTGGTTGCAGAAAAAAAAGCAGCATTTGGATAAGAAAAAAGGGCTGGTATTTCACTAACAGTTGTTTCTTGTCCGTAGCTAGAGTTCTATCGCTCTAGCGATGTGAGGCCTTGTTGCCATTCTGGGTATTAGTACCGTTTCCCCTTTCTGACCAGTCCTTCCAGTACAGTAGCTCAGTCACAAAACCTTAACGACTTGTGTTGAAATAAAATGGCACACATTGAATTTAACCAGGGACATCAGATGTTTTTTTTCCTTCTATCTTACAAAATCCTTTTGTTGTTTTTTGTCTTCTTTTCTAATAAATCATTCTTCTTCTTTGTTTTCACAAAAAAAAAAAAAAAAAAAACTTCCTTTCATCCAGAGGGGAAACAAATGTTAGCAAACCCAGTTCCCTGTGACCTGTGTGGCCCTTCCTGTGGCCCTGCAGAGGGGTGGGGGGCTCTCCTTCTCCGCTGGCCCTGGCCTGGCCCTGGCCCCTAGGCTACGCTGTGCTGCTGCTGGAACAGGGCGTGCTTTGTGTGCTGCCAATACTGTGGGCCGCACTGCTGTTCTCTGAGGCTGGGGGCTGGGGCTTCTGGGCCTGCTGTCGGCCAGCTGTATCACCTGGATGGGGAGGAGAGAGAGAGAGGGAGAGGGGTGGGGAAGAAAGGGGGATGGAGAGAGAAAAATAGAGAGGGATAGAAGTAAAACAAAACAGAAGAGTGAGAGAAGATTGAGTGAGGGAGGGAGGACGAGAGAGAGGGGAGAGAGGGAAAAAGAGAGAGAGATAAGGGTTGATGCAATACATCACAATTATACACATTTCAGCTATGTTCTTCTGTGCCACTGCCATTTATTCAAGATTTCTTGTTATCTAGAGGCCACAGGCTCAATCTGGTAACAGACTGATGCTTAAACGAATCTCCTTAGTTCTCCCAGTGCTGCTGATTGTCCCATGTGGTGACCATCACTTCACTGCGAATCAAAGCGGAGTGTCTCAAATGGAAAGAACTGAACTGAAGATTCTCAATCCAGCTCTCCCCTCTCTGTTATCTGCAAGCAATTAGCATAGCTTTAGCAGATGTAGCAGAATAAACATGAGACAGAGGCCTTCTGCCTGGATCTCAAACCACTGACTTATTGTTCTGTGTTTAAATGAGCATTCCCGCTTGTAGATTCCTGGGCTATAGAGCTGGCAACAGAAAGTTAGGAGGCAAATTAAAATGCTTCCATTTTTTGGGAAAAGCTTGCCTGACTGAAAACTGAAGGCATCTGAAAAAAGCCCTGTGTTTGTTTTACATATCTGGCACACTGTGCTTCTGGTATTTAAATGCACTCTGTCTGTTGTTTGTTTGCAAGCTCAGCTGTCTTCTTTCCTGCATAGCTTAGTGAGGACCATAGAGGATTCTATGGAGAGAGAGATTGGAAAAATGTGGTATTTGGTTGCATCCCAAATGGCACCGTATTCCCTATATAGTGCACTACTTTTGACCAGAGCCATATGGGCCCTGGTGAAAAGTGGTACACTATAAAGCAGTGGTCACCAACCTTTTCTGAGTCAAGATCACATTGAGTTAAAAAGCAAGCCAAGATCTACCGCTCAGATTTTTCTTAAACATAAATTATAGAATATAAGCCTATGCAACATTAACCAATTAAAAACAGTTCTGTAGCAATGAGGTTTGTGCACTAAGCTATAGGCCCAATACATTATCACTGCATATTAGCTACAGTTGAAGTCAGAAGTTTACATACACTTATGTTGGAGTCATTAAAACTTGTTTTTCAACCACTCCACAAATGTCTTGTTAACAAACTATAGTCTTGGCAAGTCGGTTAGGACATCTACTTTGTGCATGACACAAGTAATTTTTCCATCAACTGTTTACAGACAGATTATTTCACTTATAATTCACTGTATCACAATTCCAGTGGGTCAGAAGTTTACATACACTAAGTTGACTGTGCCTTTAAACAGCTTGGACAATTCCAGAAAATGATGTCATGGCTTTAGAAGCTTCTGATAGGCTAATTGACATCATTTGAGTCAATTGGAGGTGTACATCAACGCCAACCTTCAAACAATGCCTTTTTGCTTGACATCATGGGAAAATCAAAAGAAATCAGCCAAGACCTCAGAAAAAAATGTGTAGACCTCCACAAGTCTGGTTCATCCTTGGGAGCAATTTCCAAAACGCCTGAAGGTACCACATTCATCTGTACAAACAATAGCACGCAAGTATAAACACCATGGGACCACGCAGCCGTCATACCGCTCAGGAAGGAGACGCGTTCTGTCTCCTAGACATGAACGTACTTTGGTGCGAAAAGTGCAAATCAATTCCCGAACAACAGCAAAGGACCTTGTGAAGATGCTGGAGGAAACAGGTACAAAGTACTCTATATCCACAGTAAAACGAGTCCTATATCGACATAACCTGAAAGGCCGCTCAGCAAGGAAGAAGCCACTGCTCCAAAACCGCCATAAAAAAGCCAGACTACGGTTTGCAACTGCACATGGGGACAAAGATCGTACTTTTTGGAGAAATGTCCTCTGGTCTGATGAAACAAAAATAGAACTGTTTGTCCATAATGACCATTGTTATGTTTGGAGGAAAAAGGGGGTGCCTTGCAAGCCGAAGAACACCATCCCAACCGTGAAGCACGGGGGTGGCAGCATCATGCTGTGGGGGTGCTTTGCTGCAAGAGGGACTGGTGCACTTCACAAAATAGATGGCATCATGAGGAAGGAAAATTATGTGGATATATTGAAGCAACATCTCAAGACATCAGTCAGGAAGTTAAAGCTTGGTCGCAAATGGGTCTTCCAAATGGACAATGACCCCAAGCATACTTCCACAGTTGTGGCAAAGTGGCTTAAGGACAACAAAGTCAAGGTATTGGAGTGGCCATCACAAAGCTCTGACCTCAATCCTATAGACAATTTGTGGGCAGAACTGAAAAAGCGTGTGCGAGCAAGGAGGCCTACAAACCTGACTCAGTAACACCAGCTCTGTCAGGAGGAATGGGACAAAATTCACCCAACTTAATGTGGGAAGCTTGTGGAAGGCTCCCGAAACGTTTGACCCAAGTTAAAACAATTTAAAGGCAATGCTACCAAATACTAATTGAGTGTATGTAAACTTCTGACCCACTGGGAATGTGATGAAAGAAATAAAAGCTGAAATAAATCATTCTCTCTCCTATTATTCTGACATGTCACATTCTTAAAATAAAGTGGTGATCCTAACTGACCTAAGACAGGGAATTTTTACTAGAATTAAATGTCAGGAATTTTGAAAAAATTAGTTTAAATGTATTTGGCTAGGTGTATGTAAACTTCCGACTTCAACTGTATGCTTGAATTGCCCAGCCAATGTTGGTTCTTCTCAGACCAATTTGAAATTAAATTTAACAAAAATGTAGGTATATGATCACACTGGTAATAGATCATTTGTTGTATTACTTGTGAGGCACAGCTGAGTGAGCAAAATCATTTGCTTAAAATGTTGTTTTACTGGACTGATGGCCTGCATCTGATGGTCAGTCTGAGAGGGGGGGAGCAGCGATGAGGCTGCCTCTCACCCGACTCACTGTCCCTCTGCTCTCCCTCCCTCGGCTGAGAAAAGGGGACACAGTCTTCCAGCTGATGGCGAAACTCAAGTCATATCCCAAAAACAGGTAGTTTTTTTCCGCAAACCTGCATATCATCATCTTCTCTCTTTTGTGGCACCAATGTGAGGGGTTATGGCAGGGGAAACACTGTTGCAGTAGTCTAGTGTGTGGTGCGGGAATAATGGCAAGCGAACATGAGGAGCTTTGTGTTCGCATTGCCCTAAAAGGGGAACCGAACCACAGAATTCAAGCAAACCGAACTCAGACCACCTCTCGAGATGGGCCTCAGTTCGGTTCACATTGAGGGCTCTTCTGAGGGGTCTGAGTTCCTTGGAGTGTTCACACTGCACACAAAATTGAGCGAACTGCACTGAGTTCACAAAAATTGTCTGAAAGGGACCAAGTGTGAAAACATCCTAAGTGAAAATTCAACATAAATGGAAGTATTATTCACCCCTAACAACATACTGGCTTTCCACCATACACTCAGAGTTTGAACAAACAAAAAGCTTATAAAACAAATGTATCTATAAATCTCATGATGAGCCATCCAAATAGGCTATATAAATCAAATTGAATGTGTGTTGTAAATGTAAAAATGGTGAAACCATCTGGGCCTGATTGAGAAGTGTCTCATATGGTGACATCACTTGTCATTGAAGTGAAGCAACAGTCTATTGACCCTTTTCCATCACACATTCCATTCAGGTCCGGGGTAACTCCCACTCCCTGTCTCCTGGGGCAACCTCCTTAACCTTTGGTGTGATCTATCCCAACACAGTCTGCAAGATCACAGCTCCTCTTTTATAACAGCATCCTTCCTACACATCTGCGTCCCAAATTGGCAATAGAGCTATGTTCCAAACGTAGTGCACTATATAGAGGAATAGGGTACCATTTGGGACGCAGGCCAAATTCCTACCGTACCATGCCCCTAAAATAGAGGGACAACTGGGTTAGTACTTATCACGTCCATGTATAAACAGGATGCACTACTGTACTGAAGACACTCACATTGCTTTAATAAACCAGCGAGATCACACCAGATAGACTTCAGTATCAACGTTTGTCCAGGTCAATAGGACATCCGGAGATGCCTTCAATACCGTCCACTAGGCGCAACGTGTGCACATATACCATCCATTAGGCTCACGCTTGGCCGTTGTGGATGGGGATAGAGAAAGGGCATAAACCGCGGGCCTCGGCTCTGAGGATCGAGGGTTCAAGCCCATTGAACCTCGTTTTTTATTTTTTTTTCCCGGGTTTTTCCTTTTCCCAAAAATTAACCTTCCTAACCCGTGAATAATTCTTTCTTTAAACTCCTTTTTTTTTTTTAAAAACTTTTAACCCCTCTTTTTTTTAATGAGTTTTTTTCCCCCCCCCCAAAATTGTCTAATCCGTTTAACTTTTTAAATTTTAAAAACCCTTCTAAGCGTTTAGGTTAATTAAATAGTTTTTTTTAAATAATTCCCCCTTCTCAAACAAAGGTAAAAAAGGAAACTTGAAGTAGACCCCCCCACCCCCGGTAATTTAAAATTTTAACCCCTTTGGGGAAAATCAAATAGGGCTAATTTTTAAAACGGGTCTTGGGAAACCCCATGAATTTTTGAATTAGAATTTTCTCATCCTTCTTTTAAACTTTTACCATGGGAATTTGTCAAGAGTTTTCCCTTTTAAAAAAAATTTTAAAAGGGGTCCCCAAGAAATGGTTTTTTTTGTTTAAGGGTTTTAGCCCAGGTGAGTATTTTGTATAAGTGGGTGAGACCGTGTAGAATTGTTTTTTTTTGTGGTTTTGGCTTTTTAATGTGAACAAACCTCTATCTAGCATTGTCCCTCGCCTCCTGAGGGGATAAGTGTGGGGGGTATATTTGATGTTTCATAATTTACTGGTTTTAAAAAAAATTAGTTTATTTTTTAGAAAATATATATTCTTGGAGTAAACTTCACTATGCCAATGTTTCCATGTAGGGATATGTTGGTCTTACAAGTCAATAGTTTTCCAAGGACTACAGCAGAATAGAATAGGATGCATCCCAAATAGTACCCTATTCCCTATATAGTGCACTACTTTTGACCATAGCTACAGTGGGGGAAAAAAGTATTTAGTCAGCCACCAATTGTGCAAGTTCTCCCACTTAAAAAGATCAGAGAGGCCTGTACTTTTCATCATAGGTACACGTAAACTATGACAGACAAAATGAGGAAAAAAAATCCAGAAAATCACATTGTAGGATTTTTTATGAATTTATTTGCAAATTATGGTGGAAAATAAGTATTTGGTCAATAACAAAAGTTTCTCAATACTTTGTTATATACCCTTTGTTGGCAATGACACACGTTTTCTGTAAGTCTTCACAAGGTTTTCACACACTGTTGCTGGTATTTTGGCCCATTCCTCCATGCAGATCTCCTCTAGAGCAGTGATGTTTTGGGGCTGTCGCTGGGCAACACGGACTTTCAACTCCCTCCAAAGATTTTCTATGGGGTTGAGATCTGGAGACTGGCTAGGCCACTCCAGGACCTTGAAATGCTTCTTATGAAGCCACTCCTTCGTTGCCCGGGCGGTGTGTTTGGGATCATTGTCATGCTGAAAGACCCAGCCACGTTTCATCTTCAATGCCCTTGCTGATGGAAGGAGGTTTTCACTCAAAATCTCACGATACATGGCCCCATTCATTATTTCCTTTACACGGATCAGTCGTCCTGGTCCCTTTGCAGAAAAACAGCACCAAAGCATGATGTTTCCACCCCCATGCTTCACAGTAGGTATGGTGTTCTTTGGATGCAACTCAGCATTCTTTGTCCTCCAAACACGACGAGTTGAGTTTTTACCAAAAAGTTATATTTTGGTTTCATCTGACCATATGACATTCTCCCAATCCTCTTCTGGATCATCCAAATGCACTCTAGCAAACTTCAGATGGGCCTGGACATGTACTGGCTTAAGCAGGGGGACACGTCTGGCACTGCAGGATTTGAGTCCCTGGCGGCGTAGTGTGTTACTGATGGTAGGCTTTGTTACTTTGGTCCCAGCTCTCTGCAGGTCATTCACTAGGTCTCACCCCGTGTGGTTCTGGGATTTTTGCTCACCGTTCTTGTGATCATTTTGACACCACGGGGTGAGATCTTGCGTGGAGCCCCAGATCGAGGGAGATTACCAGTGGTCTTGTATGTCTTCCATTTCCTAATAATTGCTCCCACAGTTGATTTCTTCAAACCAAGCTGCTTACCTATTGCAGATTCAGTCTTCCCAGCCTGGTGCAGGTCTACCATTTTGTTTCTGGTGTCCTTTGACAGCTCTTTGGTCTTGGCCATAGTGGAGTTTGGAGTGTGACTGTTTGAGGTTGTGGACAGGTGTCTTTTATACTGATAACAAGTTCAAACAGGTGCTATTAATACAGGTAACGAGTGGAGGACAGAGGAGCCTCTTAAAGAAGAAGTTACAGGTCTGTGAGAGCCAGAAATCTTGCTTGTTTGTAGGTGACCAAATACTTATTTTCCACCATAATTTGCAAATAAATTCATAAAAAATCCTACAATGTGATTTTCTGGATTTTTTCCCCTCATTTTGTCTGTCATAGTTGACGTGTACCTATGATGAAAATTACAGGCCTCTCTGATCTTTTTAAGTGGGAGAACTTGCACAATTGGTGGCTGACTAAATACTTTTTTCCCCCACTGTATCTGGAGTGAAAAAATTTATTAACACCCCTCCTTCCACACTGCAGATACAGATCAGTACTAGTAATTACAAATTACATTGGTCATGAAATGAATGCATGTAAAAAAATATATATATATATTTATTTGAATTGAGACTGATTAACTGAATTATACCTTAGTGGAGTTTTCCACAATAATCCAATGTGCACTTCTCAGGAGACGGCTGTATTCTAGTATGACTGCCTGATGCCTAGGGCTGGGAATTGACCTCACGATACAGTATTATCACGATACTTAGATGCCGATACGATATGTATTGCGATTCTCACGATTCTATATGTACTGCCAACTAGGTGAAAAATCTGTCGATGTGCCCTTAAGCAAGGCACTTAACCCTAATTGCTCCTGTAAGTCGCTCTGGATAAGAGCGTCTGCTAAATGACTAAAAATGTAAATGTAAATACTGCAAATCAATAATGCGATTTTATTGCCATTTGATGTTCCAAACATATTGATCACTATATGTCTGCTGCAGAGAGACAAGAGAGAGCATGAGAAAATGAGTTTTGATCAGTCATGGGAAAAAAAGTGCCGAAAACATGTTGGCTCACTATTTAAAAAGAAGATGGAAAGCAACAGCTGACTAGCGCTAGCTAATGCTACCTAGCAAAATTGTGATACTTGTAGTCAAAGTATCGATATAATATCGTCCCCAAAAAATATTGCGATATGCAACTACTGTTGCTCTACTGCTTCTACATTATACTGTATCTGACACACATCTATGTAATGACCTCACCTAGATTAGATACACTCTATTATCCCACCTGAGGAAATGCATTAGAACTCCCTGATCCTATTCATGAAGAGATTTCACAGTTTTCCACAGAGAACACATCAGGGATTGGTGAAGAGGGGCCAACAGCAGCATAGTAGGCATTCAGTATATAGGGCTGGCTAAACCGGCAGGCAGAATACAGTACTGGTCTGTTCTATGCACTCTTACAAAAAAGGTGCTATGTAGAACCAGGGTTCTTCAGTTTGTCCCCATAGGGGAACCCTTTTTGGTGCTGGGTAGAACCCTTTGCAGAGGGTTCTACCTAGAAACCTCTATGAAGGGTTCTACCAAGGACAATTGTATCTTTGGAGGGTTCATCCTAGAAAGCTCTATGAACAGTTCCACCAGCCTTTTTACCCTTTAAAATGTAATTATTTATGACAACACATGTCATATAAAAGGCCTTTCTTTGAGGCCCTAGTTATACTCTAACACAGGGGTGTTAGGAATCTCCTGGTTTACAGGCCACATCAGGCCTGCAAGTCACATTATGCCGGCTTGCATAAAGTGATGTGTAATTCCTATTGCAATCCAGACAGAGTTAATCACCCGCAACCTGTATTCTGAATGACTGCCAGAGTAGGGAAGATTGACTACTGAGACTACCTCAATCATCTAAACAGGAACAACCATCTCAGTAACGGGTGCAATAAATCCAATTACTAACAGATTGGATTAGTTTAGGAAACTGTATGTTATTTATCTTTGTGTAGCATAAAATTAATCAACCAATCAATGCAAAAACACAGATATTACAGTAAAACAAACAATTCTGAAAATCTCCCTGCAATAAAGCATGCTGGGAAATATTATATATGGTTCTATGTAGAACCCTTCTTGCCTTCCAAAGAATCATCAAATAACCCTTTCTTCCAAAAACAGTTCTTAGGATGTTAAAGGTTCTAGGTAGAACCCTTTGCCTTACAAAGAACCCTTTTGGAACCCTTTTTTCTAAGAGTGTGTGCTGCCGGGGTACTCAGCACATAATCCACTGATCCTATGAATGATTTCATAGTGTTCTGTGTAGAACACATCAGGAATGGATGATGAGGGGTCACCAACATCAAGGCAGGCCAGGCAGATCCACGGTCAGCTAACCAGCACAGACCGGCCTGTTTTGTTCTACAGTATGTGCTGGAGTGTCCTCTACAGACCTCAGGGACCACCTCACTTCCTACTAGAGGTCAGCAGGGATCAGAGGTCATCAGAATGTGGATGCTGGAGGGGAAGGTCTTGGCATCTAACGGACAGATTGTGTCTCTTCCTGCGAGCCGAATGGCGAGTGCCCCACAAAATGGCCAGGGGAAATTCCAGCTTCCAGCCAGTCCCCTCTTTGTCCGAGACGAGGCCATTGTGTCCGAGAATACTCACTGACCACTCCTGACCACCCCGCAGGACCCGAGACCCATTCAAAAGGCAGGAAAGAGAAGAGCCGCTTACGCTGACAAACAGGATATATTTACAGTAGAAGAGTCAATGTGTTATTGTTAACTCGCCTCTGTCAGCGCTTGGTTTTCCGATTATAGAATTGCAGCATTCTGGCACTGTGATGTTTAGGACATTCTTTAGATAGTCTTATCTTTCCATCAAATAGTCTGGCTATCCGGACCATTTGCATTGACCCCCACCCTCCCTTTTTTTTACGCTGCTGCTACTCACTGTTTATTATCTATGCATAGTCCCTTTACCCCTACCTACATGTACATATTACCTCAATTACCTCGACTAACCTGTACCCCCACACATTGACTCTGTACCGGTACCCCCTGTATATAGCCTCGCTACTGTTATTTTATTGTTGCTCCTTATTTATATATTATAATTTTTTAGTTTAGTACATATTTTCTTAACTCTTATTTTTCTTAAAACTGCATTGTTGGTTAAGGGCTTGTAAGTAAGCATTTCACAGTAAAGTCGACACCTGTTGTATTCGGCGCATGTGACAAATACAATTTGATTTCATTTGATCAAGGTTGGTCTCAATTTGAATTGAAGGCAGTCAATTCAGGAAGTGATTTGAATTTAACATTCAGAAATGTAAAAACTATTGAAATAAATAGCTTCTACTTTTCCGTTTATTGAGAAGTCATTGAAAATAAATTCCCTTTTTTCGATTATTGAATTGTAATTTTAGTTTACTTCCTGAATTGACTGCTTCAATTCAAATTGAGCCTAACCCTGGTGGCGAGAGGTTACCAAGGGAAACCTTCACTCTTACATGAGGGCCAGCAGGTTGGACCTCATGCAGCAGCAGGTAAAGGGACAGTTTACAGATGTATACAGTACGTTCCAATGAGGGTCTATGTTCCAAACTAGCATACCACTAGTGAATGTTCCAATGTCCATACTTTCATAACACTTTAAATGAAGCAGTGTATTGGGAATACATTCTAAGTAGTATGCCAATGTAGATGTAACTGTATGATGTATTTATTTATTCTACCTTTATTTAGGCAGGGAGTCCCATTGATTCCAAGGTCTCTTTTTAAGGAAGCCCTGCATGGCAAGACCTACCTGTGTCTCCAGATACAGTAGGTAAAGGGACAGTTCAGAGAGACGTACCTGTATGAGAATAGATGAACCACAGGGCTCCGGTCAACAGGGCCCCGATCACAAATGCAGCGAAGGCGATCCCAACCACGGTCGGCGTGTCCAACACATACAAAACAGCTGAGGGAGAGGATAACGACGATTTGTTATTCAATGACTTGAAAACATGACAGCACCTTGGTTTGAAAGTGAGGTAGCGACACCATTTAATTTTCTTTGGGCACGACAGTATGAAAACAACATGCAAATGACATAACTCAATCTGGTCAACAATGATTATTTTAAAGTGATCTAAGATCCTGACATATAAAAACCATTGGTTTAGAATCTCCTCGCAATGATTGACTTACTTTCCCCTGGCGGGTCAGGAGGGCCTTGTGATGCCGTGCGAGTGGGAGGCACTGAAACATAAAACACAGACTGGTGTTAACACAGAACAACAATGTAACACATTTGTAGATGCATGAAAACACCACATCTCAACTACGTGTTGAAGCATCAAGAACACTTGCTTTGACATAAAGTGACAGTGCCTATGAATGGAAGCTGAGCCACCCAATGAACCTAACTACCTTGGGATAACCAGATCCAGAAAATGACATTGTGTAGATAACTGTAGTTCTAACAAATGTGGTACAGAGATCTGATGTAACTCAAAGCTGTTCCAATTGCTAACTAACAGAACCTTAAGTCTATGTATCAAATGGCTCCCTATCCCCAATAAAGTGCATTACTTTTGGCCAAAGCCCCACGGCCCTGGTCAAAAGTAGTACTCAATAAAAGGAATAGAGTGCCAAGATGAACCTGTTGACTTCTAACAGGTCTCAGCTTACTCCTTCATTTCCGGTCATCTGGATGGCTTTCAAAAGTCAAATTAGCTTCTAATTACTTCTGAACAAACAATACAATGGTGCTTATTGTGTAGAGGCGAACTCAAGAGCAGGCTTGGTCCGGGTCCAAGACTCCGGCACAATGACCAGCTATTCTGGGAAAGAACACCTTTGGGTTTTCATTCCCTCATGACAGACGATGACAGAACCATCACAGGAGAGTTTGATTTCACAAGGGGTGGTGGTAACATGACAGCCCCCTCTTTCTTCAACCCTCCATCCCTTCCCCCTCCCCTCCATCCCTCAATCCATCCCCTCTTCACCCCTCCCTCCCACTCCTCCTCCTCTCCAGTCTTATCTGTTCCTTCGGCTCGTTATTTAGAGAATGCAAAGCTGACCCGTCAACACCCAGGTCAGAGGAGAGGATAGAGGAGCCAAAGACAAGTTGAGACCAGCAAAACTATCACACTGTGGTTAAAGGAGTTACATGAACCACTACTCGTGGAGATTAGTTTTACAGTACAGTTGTAGTTTATGAAGTATGAAACAACGTATGAAAAGACTGTAGCGGAAGATCTTTCCAAGCCAGGTCAGACTATGAATGGATAGCCCCACCTCTGTTGGGGTTTTGGGCCAGCTGAGGTTCCAAGTATGGGTGAGAGCTCTGAGGTTCTGTGTAAGGGTCATAAAGATGGTGGAGTAGTCAGCTATCCCTGTGTCTTCCTCCCAGACCAACTCTGCAACTAGCAAATCTGACAACAGTATGAAAGACACCCTGAGGTCCAACCATTCTCAATGTAAGAAGCAAAGCTTTGTTCTTTATACTAATTTAGCTTTCACAATGATCTCAGCTCTGCTACATGTGTGAGAGGAAGAGCGAGAGAGGGGGAGAGAGAGAGAGAGAGTGAAAGAGAGAAAGGAAACTTAAGGCAAGGCGATGTTCTCATCTCCGTATGGTCTAGGCACAGTTGACCCTGAACCGATAGTCGCTCAATAGAGTCAACGTCATTTGTTTGCCCAGAGTTTTCTGTTCACAGAGTGGAACAGAAGAACACTTCTTTAGTGGTGTGGTGCCTTGTTTCTCTTAACCTCTGAACCCTGAACTCCAACCTGTCTCCCCAAAGTGTGTAGAATTGACTAATGGCGTCCCTGTGAGATCCTTGACATCCGAGGTCTGTATTCAGATAAATGATACGCCAGTTGACTTGGTTGCACAACTTACTGCCAGTCAGTCAGCTAACAGGCACTCAGTCAGACAGTTTTGTGTGTTGTATAATTTATGTACTGTAAACAAGTCAAAGGAAGGGAGATATGGAACAGGGGATTCAAAATAGCGGCGCTCTAACAAAGTTGGCTGTTGACTGAAAGCTTAGCAAATTATATCTTGTATCTGAAGCTTAGCACTGAAACCTGCATCTGATTCAAGTGTGGGGAGACTTATTTTCATAGCTCAAGGTTCTTACCACTATTCAACACTACTCACTGTCTCTTTCACTAATACCCACATGACAAAATACTATAGTATACTATAGTATAAATACTATAGTATTCACTGTAGTGTTTTTGCAGACTTTCCTGTAGTATTCACTGTAGTGTTTCTGTGGACTAAAGTCTACATAAACACAGTAAATACTGTAGTATTTACATATATACCTCTATCACTCCAGTATCCCTGCACATTGTAAATATGGTACTGGAACTAACTGACCCTGTATATATTATGCTTACTTACTTTCTCGTATTCTTATTATTTGTATTTATTGTGTATTTTTGTACTACCTTATGTTATTTTTAGTAATACATTGTCATTGATTACTGCATTGTTGGGTTTAGAGCTTGCAAGAAAGGCATTTCACTGTACTTGTGCACGTGACATTAAAACTTCAAACTTGAAATTTGTATTTAATGTAGTATACTGTAGTATTTACAGTTAACTATAGTATAAATACTGTAATAAAGGAAAACTGTAATATATACACTATAGTAATTAATGTAGTGTTTTTGTGGATTGTAGTATACTGTAGTATTTACTATAGTGTTTTTGTTTTATTATCTTTGACATAGAAGTGGAGGCTTTCTCCTTCAGGAAACCTACTGGATAAATACTAAAAGTAGAACCTGTAGGTAGGACTGGGTTCTGAATGGAGAGTTCAGAGCTTCTGGTCTTTTGTATAACCTGTAGGTGGGGGGGGGGGGGGGGGGGGGGGGCAGTGCAAATAGTCCGGGTAGCCATGATTAGCTGTTTAGGAGTCTTATGGCATGGGTCCTCCCGCTTGCCGTGCGGTAGCAGAGAGAACAGTCTATGACTAGGGTGGCTGGAGTCTTTGACAATTTTGAGAGCCTTCCTCTGACACCGCCTGGTATAGAGGTCCTGGATGGCAGGAAGCTTGGCCCCAGTGATGTACTGAGCCTTACGCACTACCGTCTGTAGTGCCTTACGGTCGGAGGCCAAGCAGTTGCCATACCAGGCGGTGATGCAACCAGTCAGGATGCTCTCGATGGTGCAGCTGTTAAATTTTTTGAGGATCTGAGGACCCATGCCAAATCTTTTCAGTCTCCTAAGGGGGAATAGGCTTTGTCGTGCCCTCTTCACGACTGTCTTGGTGTGTTTGGATCATGATAGTTCGTTGGTGATGTGGACACCAAGGAACTTGAAGCTCTCAACCTGTTCCACTACAGCCCCGTCGATGAGAATGGGGGCGTGCTCAGTCCTCTTTTTTTTCCTGTAGTCCACAATCATCTCCTTTGTCTTGGTCACGTTGAGGGAGAGGTTGTTATCCTGGCACCATACGGCCAGGTCTCTGACCTCCTCCCTATAGGCTGTCTCATCGTTGTCGGTGATCAGGCCTACCACTGTTGTGTCGTCGGCAAACTTAATGATGGTGTTGGAGTCGTGCCTGGCCATGCAGTCATGGGTGAACAGGGAGTACAGGAGGGGACTGAGCACGCACCCCTGAGGGGCCCTCGTGTTGAGGATCAGTGTGGCAGATGTGTTGTTACCTACCCTTACCACCTGGGGGCGGCCCGTCAGGAAGTCCAGGATCCAGTTGCAGAGGGAGGTGTTTAGTCCCAGGATGCTTAGCTTAGTGATGAGCTTTGAGGGCACTATGGTGTTGAATGCTGAGCTGTAGTCAATGAATAGCATTCTCACGTAGGTGTTCCTCTTGTCCAGGTGGGAAAGGGCAGTGTGGAGTGCAATAGAGATTGCATCATCTGTGGATCTGTTGGGGCGGTATGCAAATTGGAGTGGGTCTAGGGTTTCTGGGTAATGGTGTTGATGTGAGCCATGACCAGCCTATCAAAGCACTTCATGGCTACAGACGTCAGTGCTACGGGTTGGTAGTCATTTAGGCAGGTTATTTTAGAGTCCTTGGGCACGGGGACTATGGTGGTCTGTTTGAAACATGTTGGTATTACAGACTCAGTCAGGGACATGTTGAAAATGTCAGTGAAGACACTTGCCAGTTGGTCAGCACATGCTCGGAGTACACGTCCTGGTAATCCGTCTGGCCCTGCGGCCTTGTGAATGTTGACCTGCTTAAAAGTCTTACTCACATCGGCTACGGAGAGCGTGATCACATAGTCATCCAGAACAGCTGGTGCTCTCATGTATGCTTCAGTGTTGCTTGCCTCGAAGCGAGCATAGAAGTGGTTTAGCTCGTCTGGAAGTCTTGTGTCACTGGGCAGCTTGCGGCTGTGCTTCCCTTTGTAGTCTGTAATAGTTTTCAAGCCCTGCCACATCCGACGAGCGTCAGAGCCGGTGTAGTATGATTCAATCTTAGTCCTGTATTGACTCTTTGCCTGTTTGATGGTTCGTTGGAGGGCATAGCAGGATTTCTTATAAGCGTCCGGGTTAGAGTCCCACTCCTTGAAAGCAGCAGCTCTACCCTTTAGCTCAGTGCAGATGTTGCCTGTAATCCATGGCTTCTGGTTGGTGTATGTACATATATGCAAATTAAATACTGTAGTATTTTCTGTAGTGTTTTTGCGGACTGTGGCATTTTTGCGGACATTACTGTAGTATTTACTACTGCTTATTTTTAGGATAAAACTGTCGTATTTACTATAGTATTCTACAGTATACTATAACATTCTATAGTAAGTACTACACATGATTGAGGGATACTGCAGTGTGTAGTATAGTATTCTACAGCATACTACAGTTTACTATAGAATTCTATAGTAAGTACTGCTATATTCTATAGTAAACTGTAGATTTTATTCATGTGGGTAACTAGGAGGAAATGGATGATTTTGTTAAAATGTTCCTTACAGCTCGCAGTTCCGTAGAAATTGTGAAAATGTATTGATGTTGTGAGGCAGTAAATGTAGCTTTGATGGCTGAGCTTTGAGGCATTTATGTTTTTCTGTGCACCAAACTGCCCACAAACAGCCCTCTTTGATTTGTAGATCAAGCTGAACTCATTGGGATCCTGTCCAGTGCAGGACTCCAGTTGCTTGAAAAGACTGCTTGTTTTCTTTGCCATCTCACCATTAGAGATGCCTTTGTATTAAAAGCATGGTTTCTGAGCCCAGCAGTCTTTTTTTCATTAGAGTTTTTGGCATATCTGTGCTTACTTAAAGACATGCTCCGGAACATTTGCGTAATGTACTATATAGGGAATAGGGTGCCATTTCTGACGCAGCCTGAGTCTGTGCCCAATGTTCAGGCCCTGCAGTGGCATGGTGCTCATTTGTTCACACAGGCCAAATCAAGTCCATTAGTAAACACTCCCCAAGTCCCCATTACTGTTTGCCATGCTTCATCTGCCCTTAGTGATTAACACAGTATGATTAGACCTGTGAGTCAAGTGTGGCATCCTAAATGGCAGCCTATTCCTTTTATAGTGCACTACTTTTGACCAAGGCCCATAGGGAATAGGGTGCCATTTGGGACGCAACTTGTGAGACATCACACCCACCAACCACAGTCCACTTGTTGATGTTATCACCCCATAAGGGGATGCTGATTGGAAAAGCCCTGGCAGTGAAAATAGCAAAGGGGCTCTCATGATATCACCCCATCTATGGTTTAGATCATAATGGATGCAATGTGATGTTCGGTATAAGAACTCCCTGGACCAGACAGCCTAATGACGCATGGACCTGTCTGCCACAACACACACCCCCGCACACACGCAATCAGGTCGATGTCTTTACACAAAGCCACACTGAGGACTAACTCCTTGATGAGATCCACAACTAAGGACTTTCTAACGCCTTCAAAGGCCTGTCTTAATGAATTGGACCTGGAGTTCCTATCAGCTCAAAACTATGTTTTAATGTCGTATAGAGCTGCTCTTGTTTTTTAAATAATCTTTATTAAGAGCTGTTATTTTATTGTGAGGAACTGCAGTTTTATCAGATATTTTTTCTGTTTTGTCCTCTTATGTGAGTGATCCTGGGCCTGCGTGATCCCAGGACCTCCCCAGTCTACCCCACCCTCTGATCACACACACATACACACACACACCCAGCCCTCTGCTCCAAAGAGGGGAATGACTGTGTGGCTGACGGAGTGAGTGAAAAAGCATTTGACTAATGCAGCGATGAGGGGCCCTCTAGGTCTGGATACGCTCCCAAAGCTAGCGAGAAGACCACTCCACTCCTCTCCCTCTCTCCCTCCCTCCTTCTCTCTACCGGGAAGGGGAGGCCACAGAGAAGGGCTAAGTGAAAACAACTGGATGGATGTGGATGACTCGTCTTTTTCCGCTCCTTCCGCACAGTACTGCTTGGTAGAACTGTGGTAGAACTGGGATGGAGCCTCAGCGCTAGCAGCAAGCCCCCCAAACCCCAGCTATGCTCCAATGAGCACACTTACCCCCCCACACCCACACACACACACTCCCACCACACGCTAATAAACTCCAGATGCAGAGGGATGGAGGGAGGATGCGATGCGCTTGCATTGTGACTAGAACAGTTTTCTCTGCCTCTCTTCCTGCAGAACTGAGGTTGGTTTTCCCTGGGATGTCCTTCCTGCCACCCAGACTGTTCTCTTATTTACTCTGTCTTCCTGTCCTTCTTCGATGACCCTCAACACAGCTCTGTCTCCTCTGGCCAACTGACTCAGCTCCCTGCATGTGTCTCAGCTAGACTCTCTCCACAGACATTCATATAAATGTTAGCCAGCCAGAATGAGACTTTCAGTATGTCTCGCAAGACTACACTAAGATTAGTCTCTGATGCAGTGTTGTAGTACTCGAGTCCAGTACTCGAACTTGACTCGTGCAACACTGTAATATAACTTAGTTTTTTTTAATGGTTGGACCGCAGCTTTTAGCACTAGCAAAGGACTCGTGACTCGAGTATAAAAGGACTTGGACATGGACTGGAGGTTTAGTGACTTGACTACATCACTGTTCTGATGTATAGGGAGGGAGGGAAGAAGGGAGGGAGGGAAAGAGGGAAATCAAATAAAATGTTATTTGCCACATGCGCCGAATACAGCCTTACAGTGAAATGCTTACTTACAAGCCCTTAACCAACAATGCAGTTTTAAGAAAAGAGAATAAAAAAAAGTGTTAAGTAAAAAATAGTTAAGTAAAAAATAAAAATAGCAAATAATTAAAGAGCAGCAGTAAAATAGAATAACAGTAGGGAGGCTATATACAGGGGGTACCGGTACACAGTCAATGAGCGGGGGCAGGGGTTAGTCGAGGTAATTTAGGTAATATGTACATGTGGGTAGAGTTAAAGTGACTATGCATAAATAATAAACAGAGTAGCAGCAGCGTAAAAGAGGGGGATGGGGTGGGGTGGGGGGGACAACACAAATTGTCTGGGTAGCCATGATTAGCTGTTCAGAAGTCTTATAGCTTGGGGGTAGAAGCTGTTAAGAAGCCTTTTGGACCTAGACTTGGCACTCCGGTACCGCTTGCCGTGCGGTAGCAGAGAGAACAGTATATGACTAGGGCGGCTGGAGTCTTTGACCATTTTTAGGGCCTTCCTAAATTACTTCTTACTTCAGCAAATTTATGCCATCCTCCACATATATTTTGGATAAGCTGGTTCATCATAGAGATTACATTGGTTATGAGGACTATACAATACGTTAGCGTTAATAGTCCACTCACCTGGTTCCTCTTCCTCTGTGTCATGTTCTTCCACCACCACTAGGGTCTTGGTAGAAGTCTTTGTGTTCATCATCATGGCTAGGATGATCTCTCCGTTGACAGATGTACATGCCTCATCCGGTTGGATACACTGCATGGAGAGAAACACAATAGGACCACTGAGAAATCCCTAATAATTCAGCCTTGGATTTCATATACCACATTCACTTTTAATGAATTTCATTAATTTCATATATAACATACCTCATGAATTTTCCCATTAAAATGTACCATTTTTTGTATGATTTACTTATCAGCCATGAGACTGTTACATGTATTCATATGACAAAAGCAGTTTAAAAGACCAATCTACACCTTTACCCAAGACCAAGCATCCCTTTTGATCTTTGACCACATGTATAATTTGTGGGAAATCATACCTAGTGAAAACTTGTGTTCCTTCCCCCTAATCCCTATACTAACCACCTCTACCTTACCAGATGACCTAGACCCACTTCAATTTGCTTACCGCCCCAATAGATCCACAGACGATGCAATCGCCATCGCACTGCACACTGCCCTATCCCATCTGGACAAGAGGAATACCTATGGGCTCCCGAGTGGCGCAGTGGTCTAAGGCACTGCATCTCAGTGCTTGAGGCGTCACTACAGAACCCCTGGTTCTATTCCAGGCTGTATCACAACCAGCCGTGATTGGGAGTCCCATAGGGCGGCGCACAATTGGCAGAGCGTCGTCCGGGTTTGGCCGGTGTAGGCCGTCATTGTAAATAAGAATTTGTTCTTAACTGACTTGCCTAGTTAAATAAAGGTTAAATAAAAAATAAAAATGTAAGAATGCTGTTCATTGACTATAGCTCAGCATTCAACACCATAGTACCCTCCAAGCTCAACATAAATCTAGGGGTCCTGGGTCTGAACCCCGCCCTGTGCAACTGGGTCCTGGACTTCCTGACGGGCCGCCCCCAGGTGGTGAAGGTAGGAAACAACACCTTCACTTCGCTGATCCTCAATGCAGGGGCCCCACAAGGGTCCGTGCTCAGCCCCCTCCTGTAATCCCAGTTCACCCATGACTACGTGGCCACGCACGCCTCCAACTCAATCATCAAGTTTGCAGACGACACAACAGTAGTAGGCCTGATTACCAACAATGACAAGACAGCCTACAGGGAGGAGGTGAGGGCCCTGGGAGTGTGGTGCCAGGAAAATAACCTCTCACTCAACATCATCAAAACAATGGAGCTGATCGTGGACTTCAGGAAACAGCAGAGGGAGCACGCCCCTATCCACATCGACGGGACCACAGTGGAGAAGGTGGAAAGCTTCAGCTTCCTCGGCGTACACATCACTGATGATCTGAAATGGTCCACCTACACAGACGGTGTGGTGAAGAAGGCTGAAGGAGGCTGAAGAAATGTGGCTTGGCACCTAAAACCCTCACAAACTTTTACAGATGCACAATTGAGAGCATCCTGTTGGGCTATATCACCGCCTGGTATGGCAACTGCACCGCCCGCAACCGCAGTGCTCTCCAGAGGGTGGTGCGGTCTGCCCAACGCATCACCGGGGGCAAACTACCTGCCCTCATACAGCACCCGAAGTCACAGGAAGGCCAAATAGATAATCAAAGACAACAACCACCCGAGCCACTGCCTGTTCACCCCGCTATCATCCAGAAGGCTAGGTCAGTACAGGTGCATCAAAGCTGGGACCGAGACACTGAAAAACATCTTCTATCTCAAGGCCATCAGACTGTTAAATAACCATCACTAGGCGGCTTCCACCCGGTTACGTAACCCTGCACCTTAGAGGCTGCTGCCCCATATACATAGACTTGAAATCACTGGCCACTTTAATAATGGAACACTAGTCACTTTAATAATGTTTACATATTGTTGCTTTACTCATCTCATTTGTATATACTGTATTCTATTCTACTGTATTTTAGTCTATGCCACTCCGACATTGCTCGTCCTAATATTTATATATTTCTTAATTCCATTCTTTTACTTTTAGATTTGTGTGTAGTGTGTGTATTGTTGTGAATTGTTAGATATTACTGCACTGTTGGAGCTAGAAACACAAGCATTTCACTGCATCCGCAATAACATCTGCTAAATATGTGTATGTGACCAATTCAATTTGATGTAAACATTCAGCTGCAGCTCTGGTGTGAGTCAGTTTGGAGCCCCAGCCTGACTCTGAAGAAGTTTTCGTGTAGAATACCACCAGAGACCCAAATAGAGGGTGGCTGGGCGAGCACTGAGCAGAAAGAACTGCTTGGAAAAGGTTATGAAAGTGCAATGACATAGCAGAGAGAGAGAGAGAGGCTATAGTACAGCGAGGCGAAGGAAGGAAAAGTGACACTTGAGCTAGTGGCTTGTTTTGGTTCTACAGATGGTTACTTAGGAAACCTGAAGTAGATGTATGCTTCCTGCTCTGGTTCAGAATGGATTGAGACTGGCAGACTGTGCAGCAGGCCTAGCTCGGTGCCAAGTCTCTGCAGAGTGGAGCACAGACCTTCTGAATGACTGGCCTGGCCAGTCACACTGTAAACACAATCTAACCTACACTGAATGCTGCTCAAATTACCATACAATGTATGAATCATTGCATAGACCACAGATTCAGGTCATGCCAGTTGTGTCTGTGTTACAGAAAGAGGCAGATGGTTTGGCAGTGGCGCAGTCGGCTCTGGACTACACCTGCCCCGTAAAAGACCAGGGTTCAATCCCTGGGCCAACCTCCACAACTCTTCATACTCCCCCTCTCTATTCAACACATACTGTAAATCTATCCCAATAAATAATATTACTGATATCTTTGTTGCAGAGGTCGGCAGTAAATGTACATAGTGTGCAGAATGAACAGACACGAAAGAAAAACAATGTACCATAGCCCGTCCCTGGTTGTTGTGGGGTCTCTTGGAGCAGAGAGACATTTCACAGTGCAGAAAGAGCAACGATTCGTTGAAGGGTGAGTTGAAAGTGAAGCTGAACCTCTTCCTGTCGGTCTGGGAGTGGGGGATAGGGAGGTCTCTCTGAGGGTAGTACTTGACCGTGTCGTCCGTAGGGCAGATGTTCTCTATCAGGGTGTAGTAAGACGGGATGTTGGGGTTGGACTTGGCAGAGATGAAGCAGGTCTGGATCATGAACCCTAGCTCTGGGTCGACTTTGAAAGCTCCAATCTGAAGCACGGGAGAAAAGAGAAAAAAATATGAAGATAAAATATTTTTTTATTAAAAATACAGGGAACATTGTGTCATTTTTCATAAAAACAATAAACTCAAGTCATACAAATGTTTTACCATTTCTAAAGTGTAAGCAATGTGTGGAGACTTGGGCTGTATGATTGCTACAGCCTCTAAAGGTGTCCAATGATTTTATTGTTGAATCCTCTCATCGACGTCGTCAAATTGACAAACTATCTGTTTCGGCCTACAAAGTTCTGTGAAGAGCACCATCTTGGCATTCGTCTGTACACTCTCTGTCAGTCCAGGAGCTGACAATTTGTTTTAACACAGAGAACAAGCTAAAGGAACACTATCAGAGTGTTATCAGGTCCAAGAATCACAAATCCTGAAGTGGATTTCAGTCCCTTCAAAAAGTTTTAATGGGATCTTTCCGTCGGCAGACCACAAGGCATTTCCTTGAATTATTATCCCTCTGCTGCCTTTTCGTTCTTTTTTTCCACTGAAAACCTAAATGTGTTTTTCTGTTTTTTGTCTGTGCCATCACCATGCCAAGGTTGTCAAAAAGCTTGCCCAGTCAAAAGCACAGACACACGCATGCACGCCACACACACGCATGCACAGGCACACACACACGCCCCTTTCAAAGGACAGTTGAGAGAAAGTCCAGACAATAAAAACAGGCTATGACCTGACCTATGAGTAACACATGTTATGACACACGTGTTGCACAACAGCAGTTTCCTACACACCTTAGTTTGGACCATAGTCTCAGGGACCAGGACAGGGCATGGTAGATCTCAGCCCAGTGTGAGAGGTGTGGAGTTGGGAGAGAGTGGGCTCAGTATGAATCTCTACCTTTTCTTACACAACCTCCCTGTAGGACCTCTCTAGTAATACTGTTCAGTACTAGGACACTTGAGACTCATGGGAGGACAGAGACAATGGCTGTGGGGCAGCTAAGAGGAGAAAGAGGATATGTTAGCTTTATATTCTTCCGACCCAGACCAAATATCAACGGACCCTGTGGAAGCTAAAACACTAAAAGATGAAAGTGGACCAGACAGTCCAGACACAGTGTACACACAGAACAGTCCTCACTGTTGTTTTGACAGGCCTCATATTTAAGAGAGACAGAGACACGGACACACACACAGACAACTTGTGAAATCGCTCCAACAATTCACGTCCTAACATCTGGATACTAGCCTACTAACTATATTAATCTGAGCGAATCACAAACAGGCTAAAAATACAACAGACACAATGTATTACTTCAACATATTAAAAACGGTTACAGCCAGCCTGGTACAGTACATTTGTAGTAGTTCACTGCTCCATTTACCTCTACGAAGACCTGTTGATTTTTGGAAACAGTGTGGAAGGCCTGGGTTGACGGATAGCGGAAGAGTTGGGTGTTGTACAGCTCCATGTTGAACATCACGTCGGTTCTGACCGGTTCCTTAGCTGCCGGGGCGATATGGGAAAACGATCCTGATGATCCTGATCCTCCTAGGGTGTCCTGGTTCTTGCTGTAGGTGCAGTTGAACTGGGGGAGGGGGAGAGAGAAGGAGAGACAGCCAATCAAAAGAGTTGAACTGGACGAAGAATGAGAGAAGAGCCAATCAAAAAAAATATATAATTGGGTAGGAATTACACAAATAGCCCAGGGCAGATGAGTCGAAGTCGAAGTTGAAGCCAGAATTGAGGATAGTAACTGCCGATCTGCTATTCAAAAGTTGTTGTGGATCATAAGAAATTATAGAGGATCCACTTTTTGCAAAAAAAGTAAAGATAAACACCAAAAGAATAACAAAATAGTAAAGTTGGATTGGCGCACGCAAGACGGCAGCCATATAGTACAGCGCCATCTATAAGATGAGACTCTATTTATTTATTGATGATCAGTGGTCTGGTCTTGACTCCCAGCTCTCCCAACCCCAGGCAGGCCCTGTCATGCAATGCTGCAATCTTAATTCATTTTTAATGTAGTCTTAATTTAACAAGGAGAAACTCACTTGAGGTTAAAAACCAACCTCTTTTTCGAGGGAGTCTTAATGTTTTACCAGAATGGATGACCTGTGATCAGGGCCTGTGGTGTGCTCAAGGAAAGCAGCCCTCTCCAGCCTCTCTAGCTCCTCTGCCTCCCCAGGGGTCACGTCTCCGGACTCTAGATCCTCGTAATCCAGGGGACCACCACTCCCATCCTTAGGCTCAGCATGACTTATCAGGATCTGGATGTCAACCATAGAGGAGTTGAACACATCAGTGAACACAGTTCAGATACAGTATGCGCCCCAAATGGCACCCTAGCTATTTCCCTTTATAGAGCACTAACTTTGTCAGGGCTCTGGTAAAAAGCAGTGCACTATATAGGGAGCCATTTGAGACACAGACCAGGACACTTTCCCAGTGATCGGCGCCAAACTATTTTCCAATAATTTTCTGCATGTGAATGGTGTTGCTTCATTCAAGGGCTCAGGACACCAGTGACAGGGCTCTGATCTGAATCTAGCTGCCAAAACATTCTGCAACAGATGAGCTGGAATTAAAACGTGGGAACGTCCAGAGATTTCAACAGTCCAGAGCTCACTCAGGCAGACCCCGTGAAGCATATTTCTCATTTAGTCAGTTTAAAGAAACACTGGAAGCCTGCTGTGTACTTCATACATTTAGGGCTGGAAGACACGGGCTAAATGAGGTGAATTATTGTCATTGACATTTAGTTTATTCCTGCTGGTGCGTAGATTAGTAATTAAAATGCCTTATTGTAGGATGGGACAAACAAGGACCATACAAGGATATGTGGCTTTGATGTATCGAGAAACAGATAAATGAAGATTAATTTGTTTTGACCATAGGGGTCTGCATCCAAGACAAGAGATAAAAAATTGGGAGAACTTTGGGTGTGTGCCTGATATTTCTAATCTCTATTTGGACACAAATGTGTTTTGTAACCTTGCTCCGAAAATAATTTAAGAGATCCGCGGAGAAGTGATTTATCGTTGCTTGTTAGTGAAAGCACATGTTGCATTCCATGTTAATGATGAACTCTGCTGAGAAAGGGTTTAACGGTAATACTGAATCCCATAACATTTTCATAGTGTTGTCCTAAGTTTTGGCCCTGGGTGCTTCTCCCATGATATCAACAGAGATAACTGATTTTACCATTGTTCAGAGTAACAGGCTAGGGTTGGGGGATACAGCACTCATAGGTTTCCCAGACCCAGATTTGGCCTAATCCTGGACTAAAAACTATTTAAAATTGAGATATCCATTGAACCTTCTTTTTCAGTCCAGGAGTAGGCTTATTTGGGTCCAGGTATCTTAAATGTTCAAGCTTCACAAGACTTGGGAGTATGGTAACGCAAGACTAGGTAGGGTCTGGGAAACTGGCCCTCAATTAGTTTTTGTAGATGCTATGGCCATTGTGTGTGGTACTCACTGAGTTGATGTAGAGGACCATAGAGCTGGAGTGCATGGGGTACTTGGTGGTCTGACAGCCCTCCAATGGCGTCTCTAGGGTGTAGTGGGTGGAGTTAACCGTCGCTTTACATTCTGGGTCTTGAAGAGTCAGGTTGGCATTACCATAACCACTGGCCTGAGGAAAGAGACAATGGTAAAAAAGGTAAAGTAAATTAATAAAGTATTGAAAAATAGAAAGAAAACAATATAATGTCAATCAATAATCTATAATATTTGCAATACAAATCATGATTAATGATCATCTCAATACTGTCAGAACTGTTGCTGAGACACAATGTGGCACTAGACTCCATTGGCATTATCGTCACTATGCCATTCTACAGCACAGACTACTTCTCGGTGTGATATTAAGTTCCCAGGAAGACATAAAAACCACAGGATGGTCCAACTGTAACCATAACTATCCCTAATTGCAGTGTGCGGGATTTAATAGACTGTGATGTGGTCTGTTGTGTTCTGCCTGCTTCACTGTACCCAGTGGTAGGGCACACACACACACACACACACACACACACACACACAACACAAACAGTCTGGGAAAATACACACAATTCATTCAACTACATGCCAGTCACTATTCCGTAAAGAGGAAGACTCAGAGATAAACCAAGGATGAAAAGTGTGAATTCCACAGCAGCCTGTCCTCTATTGCAGACACAATTAGTCACAGTAGGCTATTCATCCACTCACCTGCAGACTCTCTCTGTCGATGCTGACCACCATCCTGTTCTCCTCACACTGAACACTGAGCCCCACACTGAGGGTCCCCTGCTGCTCCTCAGGCTCCCCACCCTCCTCCCCTCCCAGCCCCAGCCAGGGATGGTCCTCCAGGGAGGGGGGCAGGGATAGGTAGGGCAGGCCCTGCTCCTTGGGCGGGGGGAAGGGGAATGGCAGGCCAATGGAGCGTGAGGCAGCACCCCCCGGACCACCAGACAGGAGGGGGTTGGTGTCCCACAGGATGGAAGGAAGGAACATGGAGTCCAGGGGATTCAGCACATCTGGAAGTCACAGAACACACACATTTTAGTCACAGAGAGACACACACACAAACGCACGTACACGCACAGACAGACACCTACACCATGCATGCACACACACAGAGAGAGACAGAGAAAGAAGGAGAGAAAGAATGAGGGAGAGAAGGAGAGAGAGAAAGAAAAAGAGAGAGAAAGAAGGAGAGAGAGAGAAAGAAGGAGAAAAATAAGGGGAGAGAGAGAGAGAGAGAGAGAGAGAGAGAGAGAGAGAGAGAGAGAGAGAGAGAGAGAGAGAGAGAGAGAGACCTCTGTTAAAGTGTCATCTGGTGGTTTTAGAGCCATGGAAATTGCACAGAGCAGAAACTGGCCCAAGTTTTCACGCTATTGTCTTTATAAGAACAGTTAAACTGTGTTGGTGATGGTCTGTGGTAGAAATTAATTATTTAACAGTTAAATACATTTATAACAATGTATGCTCATGAAAAATGCGTATAAATCAAAGCATAGCTAATTTATTTACATAGTAGATATCTTTATTGAATTGACTAAACCTAGGTCTGTTTGTCATACATGATCTACCGTATTAGTTTAATTACAGTCAACAAGTACTGGAACACAAATCTGAGTCTACTTTAAACAGCCTGGCTTGTCTTACCTGGCTCCCTGAGCCTCAGGTTGAAGGTGTTAGCCACAGGGGTGTGGGTGTAGGAGGTGACTGGTCCATAGCTATGCTCCTCTGCCCACTTGATCAGGGCCTGAGAGCCAGATGGGAGGTGGTGCTTGGGGGTCTTAGACACTTCCATCCGCCTCTCTGTGTTGGGGCTCAGACTGATGGTATCTGGCGTCTATTGGGGAAAAATATTGGGATTAACAGGTTTAGTAGCCTATACTGTAAATCATATGGAAATATTGGTAGAGGCAAAACTACCAGCAATTGATTTGATTCAAGGAGTTTTTAATCAATGTAATCTTATCAGTTATAATCAAAGAAAAAAACGTGCTCTAATTTCTTCTTCTGAGATACCATATCTTGTCATGATCATTTTTTTTACATGAACATTTGAGACATTTAGCAAACACTTAGGGTTAAGTGCTTTGCTCAAGGGCACAGACAGATTTTTCACCTAGTCGGCTCGGGGATTCAAACCAGCGACCTTTTGGTTACTGACCCAACGCTATTAACCGCTAAGCTATCCGCAGTCATCAATCAAAAAAATAATAATATATATATTTAACTTTGACCCCTTTATCTCCCCAGTTTCGTGGTATCCAATTGGTAGTTACAGTCTTGTCTCATCGCTACAACTCCACTACGGACTCGGGAGAGGCAATGGTCGAGAGCCATGCGTCCTCCGAAACACAACCCTGCCAAGCCGCACTGCTTCTTGACACACTGCTCGCTTAACCCGGAAGCCAGCCGCACCAATGTGTCGGCGGAAACACCGTCCAACTGACGACAGCTTGCAGGCGCCCGGCCCGCCACAAGGAGTCACTAGAGCATGATGAGACAAGGCCGGCCAGCCAAACACTCCACTAACCTGGACAACGCTGGGTCAATTGTGCGCCGCCTCATGGGTCTCCCGGTCACGGCCGGCTGTGACACAGCCTGGGATCGAACCCAGGTCTGTAGTGATGCCTCAGCACTGCGATGCAGTGCCTTAGACCGCTGCGCCACTCGGGAGGGCTTTGTCGTCATCAGTCTTATACAAACCAAAGTGGACGCTTTCTTCTTTTCTAGTTAGCATCATTTACCAGTAATCTCTACGTCTCGTTTCATTTCCTTTTTCTGACTGTATGAAATGGTAAAACGTCACTATAGAGCTTCAAAAACCGGTGTGACCACAACCCACAATGAAAGTGTGAGAATATTCATTTTACTCTCATATCTTGAAAGAGTCAAAGTCAAAAGAGCCACTTTACATTCAGGTCTCGGCATGGAAAGGCCCTGACCAATTCAGCAGCGGTGAAGGGTCACACACACACACACACACACACACACACACACACACACACACACACACACACACACACACACACACACACACACACACACACACACACACACACACACACAAACGTCAAAAGCCTGATCAATGGTGGGACTAAGCCTAATGTGTCAGATTTCTACCAGAATTCCTCATTAGTTCCCCAGTGTTCCGTGCTGTATAATGTGAGGAGGGCTAATCCCTTCCCACAGACATTTCCCACATATCCACTCTGTCCAAAATGGCATCATATTCCCAATTTAGTGCACTACTTTTTACCAAGGCTCATAGGTCTCTGATCAAAAGTAGTGCACTATATAAGTAGTAGGGTGCCATTTGGGATGCACATCCCCTCTGTCCCCCGGAGCAGGAGCAGAGCTGTGGCCAATCCTCTGACAGTAGCTAGCAACACTTTGATTTTACGAGGCTATCATATCACGTACATAGCTGACATTCTCTGTTTATAGATATTCACTCTGACACAGTGGCTGGTTCCCAAAGACAGATTCTTATACTGGGACATGCATGCGCATGCAGGCAAGCACACTCACAATCACACTCATATGCACACACTCTCACACGCACACACACATAGCATTAATTAAGCATTTTGTCAATGAAACCCTTGCAATGATACTGGGCAGTTTCAGTTTACTTTGGTCCTAGATTGATTCATAGGTTCTAAACTCAGAAATCAAAAGCAGAAGTGAAAAGCAAATCTGATCCATCATAACTGAACTCCTCCCAATGATTTGTGCTATTCTGCATTTAGTACTGTACTCTATGTCTGGCCCTGGCTTGTACTTTCCTAGCCTGGTGCCAGATCTGTTTGTGCTGTCTTGCCAACTCCTATGGTCATTCATGGTAATGCCAAATGTCATGCCAAACAGATACGGGACCAGGCTAGTACTTTGGCAGTACAGTAAACTGTAGGTCAGCAGCACATCGCTGACATGTGTTCCCAGTTTCCAGTCCCCTACTCCCCCTAATGGTTCTCTTAGCGTAGCCTACTACTGTAGCCAACCGTAGCCCTGCTCTGCTGGCCTGATTGATTCAGTGCAGTGACAGCCTAAAGGGCAGCTGTACAAACAGCCAGGCAGGCGGTGGCTGGGGCTGAGCGTGGGCCAGCATTCCAAGTGGCACCCTATTTCCTATATATTGCACTAGTTTTGACCAAAGCTCCATGGGCACTGGTCAAAGGGAGTGCACTGCATAAGGAATAGGGTGCCATTTGGGACGCAACCTGAGCCTGAACTGAGCTGGCTGAATGGGAGAAGTGCAGAGTCATGGACTGGCAGAGGCACACACACACCCTGCCTGCATGAGGATCACTGTTACAGAGTGTGGGAACCAACCCAGGGAAGCAGGTACCTAGAGCCCATAAGACAATACAAGACACAGCAGTTAGCATAGCATAGGGACCACGGAATAGAGCTAAGCAGCACTCATAGAGAAGATCGAGCGAAGGGCAGGCCAGGTTGGTTTGGGCTACAGAGATGGTCGTCTAAATTGTGTCAACGCCACTTTTTTATTAATAGACAAAACACCTTTGATATCCACTAGGTATCTGTTGGCTATGTGCCAAACGTGTAAGAGCCATCCCTCATTATGACTTCAGATATTGGTAAAATCTATTTGGTTTCGTTAACATACATGTCTAGACTGATGTAAGTGGGAGGAAAACATGCAATGCCAGAGCAAATACGGTCATTGGACAATTTCCTATTGTTAACCTAAAACCAAATAAATCTCCCTTAGTGTAAGCCTTGTAAAATAGTGTATGTCTTTCAATGACCAGAACAGATTTTGTAAAAAAAAAAATGTAAGTGTATACACGACCACAGAGTGTGTGGGTGTCAATGTTAACAAGTATGAAACAATATTTCAATACTACAGACAGATAGCCAGTCACTGAGGTATTACACAGTATTTGGGCAGTGATTGTGTTGTTACTGTTTCTGCAGTGCAATCCACAGAGATAGGCCCTGTCCTAAATGGCACCCTATTCCCATTGGGCTCTGGTCAAAAGTAGTGCACTATATACGGAATAGGGTGCCAATTGGGATGCAGTCAGGGCCTGCAGCCAGCAACGCTCATAATTCACATTATGATGGACGGCAAACAGGTCAGTCTGTGCGAGGCTGTGAGCACAATAAAAATACTGTTTGTGGTGAGCCTGGCCTATGAAAATGTCTCACCCCCCTCCCCCTCTCTTCCCCCTCTCCCCTCCTCCTCTCATTCAATATGATGACAACCCTTGGAGCTGTCAGCATGATATTTCACAGTTCATCTCTTTATCCCTCCCTCCCTCCCCTGCAGGCAGGTTGAAACCAGGTGCCACTTCAACACTCCTCGGATTGTGACAAATGTATTGGTCAGCAGTGAAAAGTGGTGACATGCCTGTCTGTCTGCTGTGCCTGTCTAGTCATGTGTTGTGACATGGATCCTCTGCCCGTCTCCCCTCATACCATTCGTGCCATTGTGATCAGTGGAGGCTGCTGAGGGGAGGACAGCTCATAATAATGGCTGGAACGGCGCTAATGGAATGGCATCAAACATATGGAAACCATTTGTTTGATGTATTTGATACCATTCCACTGATTCCGCTCCAGCCATTACCACGAGTCCGTCCTCCCCAATTAAGGTGCCACCAACCTTCTCTGATTGTGATGTGTTACTGAGACAGTGAAAAAAGATCTTGGCAGTTAAAATCTGAAAGTTGAACTAATCAATTCGAAAAACCACTCAATAGCAGTCCTGCCACTTGGTTTGCTATAAATCTGAGGGATGGAGTCTTAGGTCTCTGGAGTTGGCCATTAAATAAACTGCTTCTACTGAAAATATAAGTAGTTTTATTTAGGTCAAAGCAGCACTTTCCTATTATTCATGGATTGCAAGGTTTTGTCTCTATATTGCTTTGAACATTCGTTTTAGGACTGCTGCCCGACTCAGCATTGTCAATCGGAGATTATGAAGATTTTATCAAAAGGGCATTACAGTGGCTTGGAAATACAAAAACATTTTAAAAGGAGGCAAATAATTAGTAGCAAAACCTTTTGTCATTATCGTGATGTTGTCAGATTGATCGTATTTCCAGGCCACTATAGTGTAATTTAGACTAAACAGTCGTTAGCCCCCGTTCAGAATGACTGGGCACAACTAGACCTTTGGGCACCACTATGGCAGAGAACAGCTTGAGAATGTTCATAACAGTGGCGACCGAGTGAAGGAGGTGCAACCCATGAATAGAGGGGCTGTGTTTGTTACATTCAGAGTGACGTTTTGAGTCACGTACCACCAAGTCCAGTTTGCAGGTTACTGTAAATATAAGTATTTTTATTTAGAAACAAAACATTTCTCCGTAGTGTTCAGTGTTACGTACCACCACGTCCAGTTTGCCGATGACGCCGTGAGCCTTGATGACCCAGTTGACAGACTTCTCACACTTTAGCAGCAGCACAATGTCACGATACAATGGAACATCTGCCTCCAGTGGTCTCAGATCCACGATCACATCCACTTGGAACGCACTGCTCAGGGAGGGAAATAGAGAGAAATAGAGAGAGAAATAGAGAGAGCGATAGAGCGAGAGAGAGCGAGAGAGCGAGAGAGAGCGAGAGAGCGAGAGAGCGAGCGAGCCAGCCAGGAGAGAGCCATAAGAGTTTTGGAAGACCCAAAACACTCAGTATTTACATGCCTTACCTCTGTCTGGCCAACTGATTAAGAAACTGGAGGTATTCCCAGAAAGAGGAAGACGTGCGTAGCAGACCAGACCACATAGCAGCCGTATGGTGAAATACATCATGACTGCCACATTCCCTGTATTTCTGGGCTCTTTATGCGTATACAGAGTAATCACACCTCTGGGAGACTGAGGCCATTACCCGGCAGACTGGAAATACAGACTACACTCCACGTGAGGTTGTGTCCCAAATGGATGCCAACCTACACTATATATACAAAATTATGTGGACACCCCTTCAAATTAGTGGATTCTGCTATTTCAGCCACACCTGTTGCTGACAGGTGTATAAAATCAAGCACACCGCCATGCAATCTCCATAGACAAACATTGGCAGTAGAATGGCCTTACTGAAGAACTTGGTCTTTCAACGTGGCACCGTCATAGGATGCCACCTTTCCAAAAAGTCAGTCTGTCCCGGTCAACTGTAAGTGCTGTAAGTGCTCAGCCAGGAAGTAATAGGCCACACAAGCTCACAGAACGGGACCGCCGAGTGCTGAAGCACGTAGCGCGTAAAAATTGTCTGTCCTCGGTTGCAACACTCACTACTGAGTTCCAAACTGCCTCTGGAAGCAACGTCAGCACAATAACTGTTCGTCGGGAGTTTCATGAAATGGGTTTCCATGGCCGAGCAGCCACACACAAGCCTAAGATCACCATGCGCAACGCCAAGCGTCGGCTGGAGTGGTGTAAAGCTCGCCGCCACTGGACTCTGGAGCAGTGGAAACGTGTTCTCTGGAGTGATGAATCACATTTCAATATATCTGGCAGTCCGACAGACTAATCTGGGTTTGGCAAATGCCAGGGGAACGCTACCTGCCCCAATGCATAGTGCCAACTGTAAAGTTTGGTGGAGGAGGAATAATGGTCTGGGGCTGTTTTTCATGGTTCGGGCTAGGCCCCTTAGTTCCATTGAAGGGAAATCTTAATGTTACAGCATACAATGACATTCTAAATGATTCTGTGCTTCCAACTTTGTGGCAACAGTTTGGGGGAAGGCCCTTTCCTGTTTCAGCATGACAATGCCCCCGTGCACAAAGCGAGGTCCATACAGAAATGGTTTGTCGAGATCGTTGTGGAAGAACTTGACTGGCCTGCACATAGCCCTGACCTCAACCCCATTGAACACCTTTGGGATGAAATGGAACGCCGACTGCAAACCATGCCTAATCGCCCAACATCAGTGCCCGACCTCACTAATGCTCGTGGCTGAATGGAAGCAATTCCTCATAGAAATGTGCCAACATCTAGTGGAAAGCCTTCCCAGAAGAGTGGAGGCTGTTATAGCAGCAAAGGGGGGACCAACTCCATTTTAATGCCCATGATTTTGGAATTAGATGTTTGACGAGCAGGTGTCCACATACTTTTGGTCATGTAGTGTATCTCAGAGTCTAGTTTGCATGACTTTTGACCAGGGTCCATAGGCCTCTGGTCAAAAGTAGTGCGCTTGGCAATAGGATGCCATTTGGGAGGCACCCTTAGACTTTGAGTCTGAGATAGAGTGCTCAACAAAACGTCAATATTATCCCCCTCTTCCTTGGTATCCAACACAGACTACCAGTGTGACTAGAGAGAAACCATCCTGACCTCTTGTAATGGGGAAATTACACTGAGATCATTAAGGTTTATATTTAGAGTTAGTGTGATCGACATAATGTGTAGCATATTGACATAAAGGGCCAGTTTCCCAGAGACAGATTAAGCCTACTGCTGGACTAAAAAGCATGCACAATAGAGAATCTCCACTGAAAGTGTTCTTTAGTCCAGAACTAGGCTTAATCTGTGTCCAGAACCCAGCCTAAACTGGATAAATGTGTGCCTTATTTGGGTCGGACTATGTTCTGGTTCTGGTGGTAGGCTACAGTACTGACCTACTGGAGTTCTGGTTGTGTTCTGCTTGTGTTCTGGTTGTGTTGGATTACAGTACTGACCTGCTGGAGTTGGGTGCTTGCAGCTCGATGATGTGGACCTCTTGGTCCTGGTCTGGCCCAGACAGGACACAGCCTTTAGAGGGCTGGGGCTCCACATAGCCAGCTAAGTAGTTCAGAGACAGGAACTTGTTGTCGATCTTACAGGTATCTGAGAACACTGGGTCTGAAAGACAAAAGGAGAGTGTGGTTAAATGAGATTATGAGATTATGACTCTATGTATAATTCCTACACTGGAAGTGATGTGATTATACTTGATTAATCCTCAAGAGGAAGAAGTTCTGATGAAGGCAGTGAGGCTGATACGTAAGCTTAATATACTAAAGTGATACTGGCAAGCGCAGTGTGAAAGTTTTTTTATTTTCTTTCAAGATGAATCCTCATGAGGAAATGGGTGAGGTATTTAGGTATTTACATTCCTTTGTTCAGCCATAGCCTGAACAATTTGGGGTTGCTGGTAAAAGACAGGGACATACAGACAGCTTTTGTACTGAACACTATGATTTATGTTTCTGGGATAATGAAGGACAATTTTGAACAATAGCTGTCATAAACACGTCCAATCAGTCATTCCTGTCAGGTTTCCCACCATTCTAACTTATTAGCATTTATTTACTCAATTATTATTATTCTCCATCCAACTGCCCAGGCATGCAATCCTCTTCTCAGTCTTTTATAAAACATGAAAAGTTAAGCCCAGATGCTTCCTTATTTGGCAAACAAGCTCTTTGACAATATAAACTAAAGGGGTTGGCACCTTCCTCCCTAGACCCACATGTGCCCCCCTCGTACGTGTATTAATGGCCTGGTACGAAACAAAGCGGAAATCTGTCCAGCCTCATGAAAAAGTACCAGAGCGAGAGAGAGATGGGGGGAGACGGACTGAGGTAAACATGGCATATTGGTCCTTCGCCAAACCACAGTGTCTAATGACAGAGAGAGCGGTTGAATAGATTACTGCTTCAAGGCTAAGCAACCACACACGCTCTGTTTTCCTCTGAAGTGATTGACTACATGGAGAGAACAGTACATACCCCGGCTGTAATGTGTAATGGAGCCATGACTCCACTCCTGGCAGTCAAAGTGATATTGTCATGCAGTTGAAAGACAGTCGTTAAAAATGAGGTGCCCTATCTATCTGGATGTTGACGTAGGATGAAGTTGGACGTGCTGTCGGATCGGTTTACAAAGCACCAGTGGGGAGAGAAGAAGTGAAGGAAAGAGTGAAGCATGGCTTCAATGGATCAATCACACAACATCCCTGGAGGAAAGCCCTTGACTTCAAACAGCCTGAGTACCTGCTACAGTAACTCTACTGCCTGGTGGAGAGGAGACAACTCTGACAGTTTGTTTCCACTCACAGCTCACAGTTATCAAGGAACAGCTGACATTTGCTAAACCCAGTAATGCCTTCCACAGTTTAGTTTACTACAAACTCTGCTTCTCAGAAGTGGTCTTCTTACAGACAAGTTAAGGAACAAGGCCTCTAACGTCTTACTTATTAGCAGCTTAAGGAGTTAAAGCTAGAATCCTTAGTAGAAACAATAAAGCGATTCTCCACCCGTTTTGGTAAAAAGCTGAGGGATGGGCCCAGAGAAATGTAACCACTCTCAAATTCATAGACATACCTATGGATGCAAGGACTGACCATCCATGATATCAAAAGTATCATTTTAAACATGTTTTGAGGCTATAAAGTGTTTGTTTACATTTACATTGTTTACAGAGTAAAACAAGGTTATATTTTGGGTTCTGATGGGGTACGACAGTTGAACTAAGCTCATGAGGCATTTCTAAGTTATATTCTTCAAGAATCAATTTATAATTCCAAAAATGGATGTAGCAACTAACGATTCTAGTTTTAAGGAGGAAAGAATAACGTAAATGGATCCCTCTCTTGTCTGTTTGACTAAAACTGCTTGGAGACATGAATAGCAAGAAACAGTCCCATGTTTGATCTCTTCAGTCTATAGATTTTCTTCTGTTGCGTCAACTTCAGTCTTTTTTTGTCCATCCAACTCCATTTCCCTTTTTCCTCTTCTTGTTTCCCTAATCCTCCCTCTGTCACTCCCCTCTTTTTCTCATAGCGCACAGGACTAGTCTGTCAGGCCTCGTCTAGAAGCAGCTAGCAATCAGAGCAGCGATCCTTCTCATAAACCTACTACGAAGACACACACCCTCTCACAAACCTACTCTGCATTTTCATCAATCACTTCTTCCTCACTCCACTGACTCTGGGCTCACAGTCAATGAAGAAAAGTGACAAGCAAGGAAAGCAAACGGCCAGATTACAAAAGAAAGAAAAAGTCCTTTCCTCCCGGCCAAGTCTATTTACTTTTTAAATGGAACTGAAAGTTGGCCAGTGGAACTGAGAATTCAGAACACAGAGAGTGTTCGCTCTGCTTCTCTGGGATTGTTTTATTTCTCTAGGGTCCAGTAACTCCCAGGACTGTCAATGGCCTCCATTGAGAGGCAATTACTGCGTGGGAACCACTTCATTAAAGGTTTAGTGGGGAAGAAAAGGCCAGTCACAAGGCAAAGAAAATATACTTTTAGTGGAGGTAGGTGTAAAAGCCTCCCTAGGCATTCTAAACGGAAATGTGGCACTACCTTGGGACTGAGGCAACGTTTCTTACCTGCCTCTCAGAGTTAAACACACCTTCTCCCACTTTGATGTAGGGTTCCACTTGGAACCAATAGTTCTCCTACAGAAGGGACAGCCAAATAACCCTTTATGGTTATAGGTAGCACCTTTTTCTAAGAGTGTCCTTTGGAGAAACATTTCTAACTTCCCTCTGACAGTAAAACACACCTTCTCCCACTTTAATGTAGATGTCCAGGGCGATCTTGAGTTCGGAGAAGGAGGTGACGGCTCTGTACTTCTTGGTGGCCCAGTTGAGGAGGTGCTCATTGCCATGGGGAAGCACCTCCTTCTGAACCTGACAGTGGAGGGAGAAGTTCCCTGGAGGGAAGTGGACATCAGATCCCTCAGATACCTTGAGGAAGGAGAGACACAACAATGTTACAGACAGACAGCCAGAGAGACACCATGGCTTTACAGACTGACGTACACGGTTCATCAAGAGTCATACCCCTGAGACATGGCTGTAGTGTGTTAGGAGTCATAGGAGTCTACAGCCATGTATCAGCGCTAAACGACACACAGAGAAGTGGACATTTGAGCTCTCTGATACCTGGAGGGTGGAGAGATACAATGATGTTACAGATAGACACTGTACATCAGGAGACATAGCCCCTAAGACATGTCTGTAGACTGCTATGGCATTGGGTGTACTATGACGTATAGACGTATTTGCCTGTGAGGAAAAGAGCTGGAAGCAGGGGTTCCACAGAATGACTGTGATACAGTAGGTTTCTGTATGACACTATGGGCCGGTTTCCTAGCCACAGATTAAGCCTAGTCCTGGACTAAAGTGCAAGATCAATGGAGAATCTCCATCGAAGATTATGTTTAGTCTAGGACTAGGCTTAATCTGTGTGTGGGAAACTGGTCCTAAGAGACTAGCTCTAGCATTATCGACCTGGTGTGACAATAATACAGAGAGAGACCGTAGGATCAATAATATGGTGTGGGGATTTACAGTATATCTAGTCCAGAGACCAATAAGCATCGATTTAAAGGTCAACTCAGCGAAATGACAGATATTGAGTTGAGCGAGATGGAAGACTTCACTTTCACACACAGTATCTTTGCATGTGCACGAGTTCGCTTCTCGCTGTTCACAGCGTGGTAGCCAGGGCACCAAAACAGCGGAGTTGAGCCTCGCTCTTCAACGCTTTTAGTTGTTGCGGAAATTGACCCACTATGCGTTTAACTTTCTGCATCTACATCATATCGCTGAATCTACCTTTAATATCAGTGGGTATGATTTTCTATATTCAAATTTACATCAAATAACTTTGGATTACTTTCAGCAGTCTCTATTTCAGCTACTGAAGGAACTACATGTAGAGTTACTGAGAATATAAAATGGTAAAGCTAAAAAAAAAGTTGTGGATCAGACCTGAGACATGATTTACTGTTAAGAAGCTGTATTTTCTATTGGGCTCATGGAGTTAGTTTTCAAGACTTCCACTCACAAGGACTTCTTTGTTGATAAAGATATGCCCATCCACTTTATGGGAAAATAAGACATTTGAAACAATAAAAGTCAAGGCCTGCCTCGAGGCAAACAGATAAAGGAGAAGAGAAGACCTTTCCCAATTCAAACCTTCCATCTAAACTTTGCCAAAAGACATCTTTCACACTCCATCCCCAATCGTTATTTCAAGGCCTCTCACAATGTGTGCTCCGTATTTTGACACATGGTCTCCTTACACAATAAGTTGTATGGTATCTACTGATTATGTAATCTGTTATTGTGCATCATCACTAGTGTGCAGGGATTTTTCAAAATGGCTGGAGTAGTATGGAGCTGTCTGTCATGAATATAGCCAGCAGACACACACACACGCTACTTTGTCTTTATCATAGGAAATACAATTGCAAGACACGCGTGTCTTTCTATGCGTGCTCATACACACACTTACAAATAAATCAGAGGCACAAAGAAAGAGACTACTTTTATCAATGCAGTTTGTTTGGAGTTAGCATCATAATCTAAAAGTAGAACATTTTGCCATATGAGAGGCAGCTGACAGCAGGAAGAATTGTATCCAGATGTGATACAGTGGGACGTAGCCTAAGCCTAGGTAGGCAAAAGGGTGCGAGACCGCAAAACCCAGCTGTGATATGGTGACAAAAAAAGAAAATGAGCGAAAAATGTGTGCGGAGCCCCGAGCCCACAATGAAGTGCTGATTTGTCTTCTGGCAGGGAAGGAGGGAGGGATTGAGGGAGGGATGGAGGGAGGGAAAGAGAGAAACTTGGCTGAGCTTGGCGTGTGTGTGTGCGTGCACAGAACAGAGAGCAGAGAGAGAGAGAGAGCAGAGAGAGAGCAGAGAGAGAGAGAGCGAGAGAGACCACCCCTTTGGCTCTTAACGGACCTCAACCCATATGCTTCATTTCAGCGAGATAAACATTCACATGTGCTGAAAAAACTACTGACTGTAGTAAAACTGTGAGCAGAGTTGAGCTGAGCTGAGTATCACAGGCCAGACAGGTAGCCCTAACACACGGTCTGGTCTAGATAGCCTACCTCATTATATTTATCGTGATCTTTTTCTTATTCCCATGGCCTCCTATCTAACATGTGGAGGGCAGCTGACCGTGCTACCTGGCAGGCCCAATTAAAACATTACCTCATAACACTTTTGTTGCATTACCCATATTTTTGAAGTTTTCCAAAGAGGGGGAAAAGGAAAGCAAAACTCAAGAATCTACCGCAACATTGGTTAGTTTTTCAGATCATGGTGTTTGCTTGTTTGTTTGACAATTGGGTATTTGGAACTCCAGACAGACAGGTTCTCCATTTCCCCCCAGCACACACACCCAAACACACGTCACACACACAAACACACGTCACACACACACACGGCCCAGCCAGCACCATGTGCAACATCTGCCTGACCCCTGGCCGCTCCTTTCTACGTTCCTGGCATTGTCACCACAGATAATAAATGCCAAGACCAGGGAGACAGACACTGTCGAAGAACTCACCGCTACGTAGCTATTTATTTTCAGTGATAACGTTTACTACGACTACAGCAGGAAGGAAAGGAAAACTTTAGTGGAGAAAGACGGAGTGCCTCTGCCTGACTGCCTCACCTCAGCGATCAAAAGTGATATAGAGCCGTGGACGAGTGCTGAACAATGAGAGAGGAGGAGGAGATGGAGGAGGAAGGGGTTGGGGTTTACTTTGGGAAACCTTGCCAAGCTCAACAGAGTTTATCAATTTAATTGCGGCAATACGCATGTAATTAGTCTGAAAGAATTAGAGGTGGAAGCCTAAAGAACCTAATTAGCTCCAGGCCTTTCGAGAGTAATTTGAAATGGGAATATGAGAGAAGAGACTCCGAGACACTGGGGCTCAACAAACCAGGCTCTCTCTCTCTAAACCAACCCGAGATCCATACCCAGTTAGCTGAGAGAGAGAGAGAGAAAGAGAGAGAGAGCGACCTTGTGAGAAGAATGTGTAAAAAAACAAAAATACAGTAATGTTTTTATCAAAGACTTGAAAGTTGGAAAAAATAAGAGATTAGCATCTACTTTTACAAGAACACAAAGTGTGAAGCCAGGACTTGAAAGCGATACCTTTTCAAAGTTACAATATTGTTAATTGTTCAGCTCCCAGAGTATTAACAATACTTCAAAGTAGTGCTACATGCAAAGACATCAAATTAGTGTTACATGCATACACTCTTAGAAAAAAGGGTTCCAAAAGGCTTATTCGGCTGTCCCCGTAGGATAATCGTTTTTGGTTGCAAGTAGAACCCTTTTGGATTCAATGTAGAATACTCTGTAGAAAGGGTTCTACATGGAACCCAAAAGGGTTTTTACCTGGAACCAAAAGGGTTCTATCTGCAACCAACAAGGATTATTCAAAGGGTTCTCCTATGCAGACAGCCAAAGAACCCTTTAAGGTTCTAGATAGCATCTTTTTTTCTAAGAGTGTAGACGTCAAAGTAGTCATCAATGACTGTCACAAAGGGATGATTAACTCAATGAAACAATTGGGAGAAAAACATGAATACAATTCACAGTACAGTCATTTTTGTTGGTTTTATTGTCCCTACTGTCATAGCATGTACGCTACTCGTTGTCTTGAGCGTATCATCCCATTCTCCCTGAGAAGAGGAGGACCTGTCTGAACACAGGACTGAACGTGCAGCGAGAGAGGGCCTAATCCCTGAACACATACATTTGTGCTGTTTATCTGTCCTCTTCTCACAAACAGAACCAGACAGACAGACAGACAGATTACTCCTGGGCTCATTTCACTGTATGACCTCATACCTAATGCACCCAAGCAGGGGAGCGGACTGTCTGTTTGGCCTCTTTCTGTCTGTCTGTCTGTCTGGAATCAGCTCAGGTCTGCACTCAAGAGGTAAGAGCCATGGAACTTTGCAAAGCCAAGAGTTTACCTCATTCTACCTAACTGGGAATGGAACTAATAGAGCTGATCTCCAATGAGGTGTTCTTGAGCAGTTCAAAGTCAAATAAGAAGGGGTGCTTGGGTGGACCCAGGGATGGACCTCTAGTTTGGCAAATGTTCTACAAGCCCGCTCTGAAAAATACTAGCTAGCGGACTAGCCTAACTTCTCTCCATGGGTGTAAGACAATGAGAAGGGTGTAGGCTGCTCTCCACTTCATGTCTGTTGAAAAGCAACATCAGCTTTGACATCTGGCAGCTTCAACTGTTCAGCAGATTGCACTGAACATGTAATGTGATACAATGAAATACTACGTCCGAATTTTCAAAGAGATAGCTGGGCCCCGTGTAGCTCAGTTGGTAGAGCATGGCTCTTGCAACGCCAGGGTTGTGGGTTCGATTCCCACGGGGGGCCAGCAAGAAAATGTATGCACTCACTAACTGTAAGTCGCTCTGGATAAGAGCGTCTGCTAAATGACTAAAATGTAAATAGCTGCTGCAACAATTTGTCGGCATTAGTCTAAATGTTCCAAAGTCTACAGTTCCTAACAGCCATAGAGAGCTAAGCCTCCTCCCTGTAAGATTGGTCCCTTCTTTCCCTCCCCAAAGTATAAATCCCAACAATAACATGTGCCTGCTGCCCAGTACCCTTTACGGTCCGTGGCTTTTTAAAAGCATATGCCTGTGGTTAGTTTCCTGGACTCTCTGCCTGTGTGTGTTTGAGCGTCTACATATTATTGCCATATGTGCTGGTCGGGGTAAGGGGAGAGAAGAGACGCCATGCCAAATGTTTTATATCAATTATCAGAGTGTTGCAAACCTCCAACTCTCTCGCTAAGCAACACTAAGCAACACCCACTGTACAACCTGAGAAAACACCAATGTCGGTCTGGAGAAGACGAGGTGTTCCAAACAGTGGGAGTCAGGGAGGGAGGCCTCAGGGACAGAGAGAGGATGTGAGATAATAGGAGCGTGCTCTAATGCAGTGATGATATGAATGTGATAAATGCTTTTGTGGGTGATTTGATCTGCTCTCTCTATATCGGCTCCAGAGAGCTAATCAAGCTGCTGGCGTGTATGTATGTGTGTGAGAACTGGCAGGGAGAGCTGTTGTGTAGAAAACAACACCATCTGTCTCTGCACCATGGCAGAACGTTCCTGTAGATCTGAAAAAACAATATTGGGCTGGCCATGGTTCCATTTAACGAGCACAGAGAACGAGAGAGCGAGAGAGAGAGAGAGAGAGAGAGAGAGACAAAAAGGAGAGAGAGAGAGACAAAAAGGAGAGAATCACACCAAATCCAAATAATGCAATAAAAGAAAGAAAAGACAGAAAAAGGAGAAAGACTTGGCAAACACAGAAAGAGCAACAAATTCCAACAGCTAAACTTTACAATGTTGGTCCATCAAAAGGCGAGAGAGAACAAAGATGTGTTCCAGATCAAACTAGTCAAACAATAAGGCACGATAACCCTTTAAAACATAGCACCTGCGTCCCAAATGGCACTCTATACACTATGGGCCCTGGTCAAAAGTAGCGCACTAGATAGGGAATAGGGTGCCATTTGAGATGCAACCAGAGTCATATAACCAACTTTCATAAAGACCCCTCTCTAGAAATGTGCCCTCCTTAGGATCCTAATTGTCCCCTGGTGAAATTACTTTGGCATGATTTGCTGTGTCCATCTTTCATTTCATGTTAGACTTCATGTTCTTTCATTACTCAGTACTTCTGATTGACAGGGAGTGCTGCGGAGCATGTTTTACAACAGAATGTCTGGATTTCGGGCCAAAGATTTGAAAACGCTGCAGGCAGGAGGATCCAGTGGGCCAACAGAAACAGTGTGCTCACCAGGCAGAGCAGAGCAGGGCGGAACTGAAGCGGTTCCAGGGCACATATGTGTCCGTCTGTGGACCCTAGAATCGGGGACCAGGAAACGAGGCCTGGCAGCGCTGATTCAGGGCAGATTCAGAGCCTATTAGCCCCAGGAAATAGTCCCTCTAATGGGGGAACAGCATAGAGGAGGTCTGGCTGTGTGGCTGGGAGGATCAGGGTCTGAGGTGTTAAGACCTACAAACCATTACTATTGACGCTGTTACCCTATATACCCACCACACAACACCAGCTCCTCTCCAACTCTAGAAGAGGGTTTACTCAAACGCGGCCGGTGGTGCGCTAGCTGGACTTGGCACTGTCTGTCTCACTAGCGCAGCCTTTTCACCTACAGTATACATACAGTGTTCCAGACTGTAAAATGACCACCAGTGAGAGTATAAGTGTGGCTCTGATCTGTTTATTATGTGCTGAGGACGGTGCTGTGAGATTTTGAATCCATGCAGATTTTGCATTTATACTGCAGTCTTCTTCTTCTTCTGCAGGTCAGAATGTTTGACTCAGACATGTGTACTGCAGTTGGTCTGAGCAGAGCTACAGGCCAGGTATGCAGAGTGAAACACTGACTGAGTGTGACAGGATTGGGTATCCGTCCATTCTCTCAGCAGCTCGTCGTGTCTCTTTGTCCAGTCAGTCAGTCAGTGTTTGGGTTCCATAATGGCGGCATGTTAACGAGGCATCCCCGTTGGAGCCAACCTGAACCTGAGGAGAGTAGCTGACCTGACAGATGGGATGTAACAGGCAGTTCATTCTGCTCACAGCCAGAGGGCCCAGGGAAGTCACACAACTCAACGCTAACCTTAATTTGCCATAGCTAAGGACCGGAGTGGCTCTCCACAGACAGACAGATAATCTGGTACATTCACCTCACTGTGAATGTGCCTGAATAGAAAACAGTTATGACTCATAGGTTTCACGTGTATACAGTGTATGTGTAGCTTGCCAGGCCATAAAGAGAATCTCATCTCAACTATTTGGATGAAAAATCCAAAGTATGTTTATCTGCATATGTATGTATGTATGTATGAGTGTACAAAACATTATGAACACCAGCTCTTTCCGTGACATAGACTGACCAGGTGAAAGCTATGATCCCTTATTGATGTCACTTCAATCCATGTAAATCCACTTCAATCCATGTAGCTGAAGGGGAGGAGACAGGTTAAAGCAGGATTTTTAAGCCTTGAGACAATTGAGACATGGATTGTGTATGTGTGCCATTCAGAGGGTGAATGGGCAATACACAATATTGAAGTGCCTTTGAACAGGGTATGGTAGTAGGTGCCAGGCACACCGGTTTGTGTCAAGAACTGCAACGCTGCTGGGTTTTTCATGCTCAACAGTTTCCTGTGTGTATCAAGAATGGTCCACCACCCAAATGACATCCAGCCAACTTGACACAACTGTGGGAAGCATTGGAGTCAACATGGGCCAGCATCCCTGTGGAACGCTTTTGACAGCTTGTAGAGTCCATGCCCCGACGAATTGAGGCTGTTCTGAGGACAAACGTGGGGGGTGCAACTCAATATTAGGAAGGTGTTCTTAGTGTTTTGTACACTCAGTGTATATATATGATTCTGTAAACCTTATGAGTGTACATTAAAGTATCCCTGAACAGTAAAACTGTCACCAGGGAGGAGTCCTATCCCTCCCCTTTGACAGTGGGAAAGCAGGCACAGGGCCCCATGTCAGATCCAATATCTAACAACATTAGTACACTACAGAATAAGGTCTGCTAGCCTAGTACTGTACAGTAGGCTGTGGGCTGGGCTTCATGACTGTTGTCAGCTGTTATATGTCTGATGAGGAGACATTTACTACACTGTTGACCTGCTAATGGCTCCCTCTGAGATGGCGTCCTGAATGGCACCTTATCCCTATATACTACACTACTTTTGACCAGAGCCCGCACTATAAAGGAGTAGGGTGCCATTTGGGACGCAGCCCTAGAGAAGACTGTCTCTAACTGCATGTAGAATGACCGTTTACAGCTCTGAAAACGTAAGCAGCCTGGATGCACATTCATCTGAATGAACTACATCCACTTTTTCAATCTTACATGGAAATATTTCCATTTAGTACAGGAAATAACTGGAATTGCGTTCTCATGTTTTCACGCTTTGTGATGTATTCACTAGGGGTGTCAGAGTGAAACCTGAGTCTGTGGTTAAGACAGAGACAGACTGAGGCTGGGATTGGGTCTGTTTTAGACCTGGGTTCAAGTACTATTTGAAATATTTCAAATTCTTTAAGCGCTTGTTTTAGCCTACCTGGAGAGCCAGATGGGCAGAATTTGAAATGTGCAACTTTTCTATTGGTTCCATTGCGCCACTCAATCAATCCCAGCGGATGTTTTTGGAATGACATCAAATAGTATTTGAACCCAGGTCTGGTCTGTAATATGTCTATAATGGTTTATCTGCTCACGGCAATACGCTGGGAAACAGAAGGTGGATGGATGTTAGCACGTCAGCTAGCTAGCTTCACATAACCACAGTAATCCTACTCAACACAGAGGTGATGACGGAGACTTAAAGTCTTCTTTTTGCCGATGGAGACCAAGGTCTTCCCACTGCCGAAGGTCGGATTTCAGGCTAAGCCTCTGAGAATTTGGACGTGTGTGTGCGTACGTGTATGGGTGTCTGTGTTAAACATTGTATGGGCTCTGGTTTTCATGGTAGGATGTTTTGCATGCAATGAGAACACATCACCACCACATATGGAAATAATATGAAGTAGTGCCTGATTCTTGTGGAATGCTATGGTGTTAACGCACATTTGACAATGATTATTTCAGAAGAACCGCGAGCTGCATGGAAGTCTTCACAGCATATATGGCAAGGGAGGAGTGTACAGATCCAGCCAGGCTTACAGTGAAGAGCAGCATGGTTGAGTTAAGCCATGTAGGGCCTCTTGTTCTCATTTCTATGTGATTTTCTCATGTGATACAGTGGCTTCGCCTCATTTTCTCATTAAGTCTTACACACACAGAGAGAGAGAGAGAGAGGCCCTCTGGTACCATTACTAAATATGGCTAGCTGTCCAGGGGGCCTGCTGGGGCCTGCTGCCTCCCAATACTCCTTCAAGAAACCTCCATGTTCCCCTCCCCATCGGGGTGTGTGTTTTTCGTCATTCGAGGAGACGCCCTGGATGATTTGTACTGCTGCCCAGCCATCAACAACATTGTTTGGATAGAGGTAGGGAAGGAGAGGAGAGGAGGGGAGGGAACAGCCCTCCACTGTTTAAAAGCCAGACTGAAAAACAATAATGTTGTTAGGGACTCCAGTGCCAACAGAGCTGATGTCACCGACCCACTTTATCTTCTAGTATAAATACGCTTCATCCCCGACTGTGTCAGAGGGTTTCCGGCAGGCACACAACTCTCTATGTGACAATGGATGAGCGTAGCATAATGTAGCCTGGTGTGACAATGACAGTAGGAGTTGGCAAGACAGCACTTAAACAGATCTGGGAACAGGCTAAGCATATAGTCCATGCCAACCTATAGCCTATCATTTGGCATGTAAACAAGAGTTCACTAATCACTTGAGGGTTGATAGCAACGAAGTCCTACAGCAGTGGTGTGTTAGTCATTAAATTGGTATATGTTTGTCACTGATTATTAGGGTTTACAACAAGAGTAAGTGGAAAGTGTGTGTCTGCACAGTGTAAGGAAGAGCCTGTATCCATGGGTAAACCACTGCTGCACATTACACATTAACTACTGCCATACAGACATTAATGTCTCACCACAGGGTATGTGAGAGGGTGTGTGGTTGTGTGTGTCCGTGTGTGTGTGTGTGTGTCTGTGTGTGGTTGGTTGTTGTTGTCCACAGACTGTGGTTGTTGTTGTCCACAGACTGTGGTTGTTGTTGTCCAGAGTGTGTGTAACACATGATACATCTGTAACCAACAGCTGAGAGCTCTTCTCGTCTAGACCATAACATAGCACAGGTTTCCTCTGCAAAAGAATTGCTTCCTTAACGTCTCACTGAGAAAAGTGGACGACGTTAATAAAGAATGGTATGAGGAAATAAATACATGGGAGTAAGTGGACTAAGAGAGAGAGATTGGAAAGGGACTTAGTGGAGTGGGACACAGAGAGAGAGCGAGCGAGAGAGAGAGATTGGAAGGGGAACTTGGTTGAATCTGGACTTACATGGAAGGTGTGCTTGATGCCCAGGGCTAGTTTCTCTGTCCTGATGTCCCACACCACAGGCTGGGGGGAGTTTAGCACGAACACCAGGGGCTTCTGGTGCACCAGTAGGGACTGGATGGGCTTTAGGTGCAGCTCCACCTGGGAACAGGATGACAGCAGGAGAGAGTTAGAGGACATTAGGTAACACTTTATATGAAGGGTACCTACAGAACATAAGGACTTCATGATATTCAAACCCCATGATTGATTGATTGATTTTGGGTAAAAATCGTAGAGTTAAAAGGACAAAAATAACAGAAGAATACGTATTTTCAATGTGGTTCTTGGAGTAGGAGAAATCATGACATACAGTGCATTTGGAAAGTATTCAGACCCCTTCCCCACATTTTGTTTCATTACAGCCTTATTTTAAAATTGATTAAAATAAAAAAAATCCTCATTAAGCTACACAAAATATTCCATAATGACAAAGCAAACACAGGTTTTTATAAATGTTTGCTAATTTATAAAAAATAAAGAACAGAAATACCTTATTCAGACCCTTTGCTATGAGACTCGAAATTGAGCTCAGGTGCATCCTGTTTCCATTGATCATCCTTGAGATGTTTCTACAACTTGATTGGAGTCCACCTGTGGTCAATTCAATTGATTGGACATGCTTTGGAAAGGCACACACCTGTCTATAAAAAGGTCCCACAGTTGACAGTGCATGTCAGAGCAAAAAACAAGCCATGAGGTCGAAGGAATTGTCCGTAGAGCTCCGAGACAGGATTGTGTCGAGGCACAGATCTGGGGAAGGGTACCAGAAAATGTTTGCAGCATTGAAGGTCCCCAAGAACACAGTGGACTCCATCATTCTTAAATGGAAGAAGTTTGGAATCACCAAGACTCTTCCTAGAGCTGGCCGCCCGGCCAAAGTGAACAATTGGGGGAGAAGGGCCTTGGTCAGGGAGGTGACCAAGAACCCGATGGTCACTGACAGAGCTTCAGAGTTCCTCTGTGGAGATGGGAGAACCTTCCAGAAGGACAATCATCTCTGCAGCACTCCACCAATCAGGCCTTTATGGTTGAGTGGCCAGACGGAAGCCACTCCTCAGTAAAAGGCACATGACAACCCGCTTGGAGTTTGCCAAAAGTCACCTAAAGGACTCTCAGACCATGAGAAACAGGATTCTCTGGTCTGATGAAACCAAGATTGAACTCTTTGGCCTGAATGCCAAGCATCACGTCTGGAGGAAACCTGGCACCATCCCTACGGTGAAGCATGGTGGTTGCAGCATCATGCTGTTGGGATGTTTTTCAGCGGCAGGGACTGGGAGACTAGTCAGGATCGAGGGAAAGATGAACTTATGTAAACGTAACAAAATGTGGAAAAAGTCAAGGGGTCTGAATACCTTCCGAAGCAGTACAAAAGCATGTCATAAACGCTTATGTCAACAACTACAATTTGCTAAATGCAGTAATAGTGACATTACTGTGACATTTACAAATTATATCAACTTGCGGTTGTTGTCATTAGCATTGTTATGATTGGAGCCATTTCCACCAGGTGTGGGCGTAACACTGCGTAACACACAACAATTAGGAACCGGAACCTTTACAGAGCTAAGGGGAGGAACCCACAGTATAAAATGTACGAGTCGGCATAGGGTCAACTACAGTGAATTAAAACCACCATCCCCTTTCATTTCACACAGCTGCTTCACTAGGCAAATAGCAGAGCTTTTTCTTTACTGCGGCTGTTGTATCAATGTTATCAAAACATTGCAGACCACTCTGTTGACTGTTCCTGCGCAATTACAGAGCTATAATGTTACGGATTGTCGTCTTTTATCAGGGTTTTTGTTGTTTATATACACTAACTGTACTGATAATCTCAATGAGCCTGTATGACTGTGAGCTATGAATCCCTGGGGAAGGCCGTAACTCAGCTCTTATATGTGGTCTCTCTCTGGACGCTGCTATCTGAACGCTCACACACTGGAGGCTTTGTTAGGAGCGCTGAGGAAAAAAAACGTTATGAGCAAGCCTCTGTTACCCATAACCCCACAGCTTGGAGCTATGAGCGAGCTAGGTCTTCCCTTCTCCTTGACGTGTGTGTGTGTGTGTATGCGTGCACTACAGCTTCCAGACAGTCATTAAATTGTATTCTCGCAGTCTGTCAGTGACGGGGAGAGGAGAACTCCAGCGAACTCCCACTGTTGGGACGTGTGTTGTTGCCCTGCACTGCTGGCCCAGGCTGGGCCCCCAAGACCAAATCTAGCCTGGTGATTTAGAGGCCTGGAGGCCTCACTGAAACCAGACCCTGCTTTAGACATGTTAGGATTAAGCCCCCCATCAGCAGTTTGATAAATAGGCCACAACTTTATCACAATCAATGTTTTATGAGCTAAGCTCACTATCAAATTGGAAGAGGTGCTCTGTTACCTGGGGGTTAACCTTTTACTGCAGTGGGCTAAATCAGGGTCACACAGTGTTTATTGGTAGTCTTAAATAAATCTACTTTGAAACAAAAGTATACACCTCACACAGTTATGGTCTTAAAAAAAGAAGACACCTGTACCATTTTTTATTATGAAATTATGAAAAATATTAATAACATTCCACCCATGAGGCCACTAGAGGGCGATTTGGTCATTTGACTGCAGAAAAGGTGTCTTGATCCCAGACACTTCCGCCCAAATGCGCAAAGACTCTGGTGAACCAAAGCGTCAAACTTGGCCTTCATTAGCCAATACAGAAAGACCGGGAGAAACTTCCGCCGCATAGGCATTGGCTTAATCAACCAACCAATAATTTCACCCTAACCCTTTTTCCACGCCTCGCAGTCGTGTGATTCGCTAAAATTAAATGATGACAAATACTTTACTCAGTAGGTCACTTCCATAGATTTCTATTGTCACTCCCACTAAGGCCAACTTTGAATCGATATCCCAGGCTTACAGGTATTTCCATGTGTTTGATGCCATTCCTTTCGCTCCGATCCAGCCATTATTATGAGCAGTCTTCCCCTCAGCAGCCTCCACTGCTGGGGGTAAATACACTCTGAGAAGTTATCACATAGATACCTGTTCACGTGACATAGAGTACATATCTAGTTTTGATGGATACTGATACAGGGGAAGAGGAGGGGGGGAACTATAGTTTAACTTGTCAGTTTGTTAAACCTTCCTTCACTTAATCTTCTCCCTCCCTCACTCCCTCCCGCTCTCTCTGTTCAGTCTAGCTTTAACTCTATTCCCAGGCTAATCATATTAAGCTCTTCCTGTGTGTGAAGGGACAGAGCTTGTAAATCACCCACAAGGAGTTCTGTCAGTGTCATATTATTTACATTTACTGGCCCTAAATCAATCCTAACTCAATCAGTCAAGGCAGGTTCAGATGACAAAAAGAGAGAATAGAGACTTCTTATGTTTTAAGTTGTAACTGGCGACAGCACATCTCAATTCACAGTACAGGGACTGCCAACAATTATGATGAACACATTAATGCACATTGTGTCTGAGAGTTTCATGATATTTCAGTTGTATACTAGAGCCAAGAAAATGTTCAGAGCAAGTACGTACAAACAAGTTGTTTGTTCACGGCTCTGCATCGTTCAAACCTCAGATACTTATCTTCTGAAGAAAACCTTTTGCAATGTTTATATGGTCTGTTACATTAACGGATAGGCTCTTAAGATGTAATGCTTGATATATTCCATGGTTACCCATAAACAATGATTAAATTCTTCAGACTCTTATGAGGCAGACAACGTCTTTAAAGTAGCCGGTAAATTGCTTAAGCAGAACTGTTAGCTCAGACAACAGAAACTAAATTGAACCAGACCAAACTACAGTATTGGACAGACAGAAAGTTATTCGGTTGCATCAACCATACACTCCCACACACTTTCTCTCTCCTTTTGGGGTTTTTCATGCTGTCACTGAGACATGATATGAAGCGCGCACACACACACACTCCACCACGCCCCACCTTGTCAGACCCAGTCTCCTCACACCATCTCCCCCATTGACCATCTCTAAAACACTCCAGTTTATGCCCCAACAGAGCTATCCAGGAGAAAGTGAAATGTTTATCCACTGTCTGTGACAGGCAGTTGATATTCAAAGTTGACAGTTGGTATTCAGAAAGCTGAGGTAGCCCTTTAACACATTTTCAGGCCAGAGGAGAGTGAGACACAGCTGAGAGAATAGTAATAGAGAGAGTAGATGCATGGCTTCAAAGCCTCCGGATAATAGTCTCATATCTAAGGCCCTGTAGAAGAGAGGAAGAGAAGAGAGGAGAGGAGGAGAGAAAATGAGAGTGTTTAGCGATATGGGCCATAAAAGTGCTGCAATAATCATACTAAAAAGGAACTCAGAGAGAGACGAATGGAAGAAATTACAGTACGCTTATCTCCAAGGGGACTTGGCTCAGAGCCGCTCCACACACAGTCACACACACACTCCTGGGAGAATAACCGAACGCAAGGCAACCCAGATACAATCATACCTGCGCTCATTCTGCTGGCTTCCAGGGCCTTGGCTTTGAACAGAGAGAGGGGGGAAGGATAGAGAGAGAGGGGGAGAAAGAGGAGAGAAAAGAGAGAGAGACAGAGAGAGTTGTAAAAGTTATGGAATTTTAGCACCAGACAGAAACAATTCCAAAAGAAGTGAGTCACCAGAAAAGCAAAGGCAATAAGGCATAAACACAGTTGCGGGGAGACAAAATGGCAGAAATTAGTGCAGGAGAGTCCAATATAAATCACATTAACAGTGTCGTGATACACTCTCTAATGTCAGACTGAATGCGCCAATGGGAGGGTCACTCACGTAGAAATACCTGGAGAATATGCTTCTCAATCTCCACTGTGAGGCCATTTAGCCAGTCAACTTCCAGACATTATAGATCAACTGCGGACAGCATCAATCCATGATCTTTCACACTTATCAATGTGGGAAGCTAAACTGAACGACCAGTGGGCGATAACGTGATACCAATCTATCAGATGTGGAAGAACTGGAACCAACAGCCACTTTCCCACTACACTCCCACTCCCAGTCCCAGTCCACACTCCCAGTGCCAACTCCTCATCCCCTCTCCTACTCCTACCAGTCGGATGTGTAGAGGACAGAGGAGAGCTGAGCAGCAGCTGCTGTGTGTCTCTATCTGCCCACAGAAAGACTGGGATGCCT